GGGGGGGGGGGGGGGGGGGTGGAGGCAGAGATGGAGGAGACGAGGAAGGGGAGAAGGGAGGCTCCTTGTAGGAGGAGGGAGCGGGTTTGGGGTGCCATTGTTGGCCGATTGTGGGAGTGTCAAAAATGTCTCTATGACGGGAGTTGACTATCAGTCTATCTCCCCGGAGACTGAAGAGTGGTGATGTGATGGTGATGATGATGGATGGCTCTGTTCAACGTTGAAGGGAAGAGGAATGGGGCCAGCGTGGGATTTATACCACTTACACATCGCCGGGGTGATCCGGGGTGATCCGGGCCTATGTCGGCTGGTTGATAAGAAAATGGCACACGAAATTTCTAATAGCATCGGCATTGGCATTGGCACAACTCACCGAGTATAAGTGGCGCTTACGAAGAGCATACCAGCGCGGTCTCGTGATGAGGTTGTGATTACATGTGAAGATCTGGGGCGTGGGAAAGGGGTGGGAGGCAAAGACCTCCGGCGAAGTGAAGCCAAACATTGGAGGCTTGTGAGTGCTGTGATGGGGAATTTGGATTCACAGTTTGGTCTGGTACGCATTCCATAAGTATATATGACCCGATGTTAGGCACAGGGAGCGAGCGATGAGGGGGCACCTCTGGATATCTATCTGTCTTGGCGGTTATGTGATGGATGGATGTGGCACACAACACTCGGCTCTCATGATTGAATACATAGTAAACCTGACCAGCATCCAAAGGCAATGCAGAAATAAGATACAAACCTACCTGAAGATGGTGTGCGACAGAGATGTCGAAGTGGGCTGGATGGTTTGACTCTGGTGGGCTCCATGGAATGTGCCCTGCCTCAAGGGGAAAGGCTCGGCGGACCAGGGGGCTAAGACAGAAGCTGGACTCGCGAATTCCTATGGCTACATGGTGATGCATGCCGCGATGGAATGAGATCTGACCAAAATGGGGACTAACTCGACATGTTGTCGTGGCGGACGAATACCATCGTAGCCAGTGTAGGTGGCCGATAGTGTGGTGTCAACGGTGGATATGTCATCTTTGGCTTGTTTGCTATAAGCATAGGTACTAGTTTAAGCCTCCTTTCCTCGTCTCAAAGACTTCGTGAAAATTGGAAGCGGAGAAATTGATTGAGCTGATTCCACAGACAACGTGAGTGTCTTCGTTCAGGCAGTAGCGCAATGAGAGAAGCCTTCTTTTTTTGGTGGCCGAAACGCCTTGGATTAGGGATGGAAGAGCTTCTCTCACTGCACTACTGCCGGAACGAACATTGCTCAAGAAGCCGTGGTAACGGAAAGATCCGTTGGTTTCTTCACCCTGGAGCGAGAAAGACAACCTGGCCATCAAGAATAAGCACAGCGCTTTAGCATTCAAAGCGGTCTAGTGGATGACGTTCGAGTGGTAGAAAACGACAGAGTGCCCCTGGTGGGTGACGACTGCCACATGATATTTCCGTTTTGTTATGATGCTACGAACAATGATAAACTTGCAATTGCTACGCCTGGTACTTACTGGTAGGTCCAACCTCACGGACTCTGTATGAAGGGCAGGAGCACCAGGTGAGCTTAGGAGCTGAGAGGGGGCAAAGGAGGTGACTGAAAAGGAAAGTGGAATTCACCAGCCGTTCCGTTCCTGCCCCGGCTACATTGGACAACAATCTCCGGATGTTGACATAGGTACCCAGCGAAGTGATCACGAGCGTCACTAAAGAATACAAAAAAAGGAGGCCGGTTGAGAGTGTCTCATAAGTATGGTAAAAAGTCCTCATTGGTTTCTCTTGGTGGCTTGAACTCATCTTGTTCATCCCACCGACAGTACAAGTAGACTTCCTAGTGAAACTGTTGAGCATTAGCTAGAAGTCATCATACATCTAGCCTAGCGAGTAACCGAATGGCCCGATCACCTCACCCGACAATCGTGCCGTCTTCGACATGGAAAAGACATTGAACGAGCTGGTACATGGCGAACCAAGGTGTTCAGTAAACTCTTAAAAAGAAAAGTCCAGAAAGCTCAATCTGTAAACTTTGGTATGTCTCTTGGATATTATAAACAAGTTTGGATCTGCTGCGATACAGGAAGGCCTTGGTCGGTCATAGTACCCTCTCCGGGTTTGAAACCCAGATTGCAGTGACAATCTCCATAGATCCCGGGCCATGTTTACTCCCCTTATATACACATAGCTTCTGATCCAGTGATATGACATGGACCTGGACACATGTCCCAAGGCTACCCATATATGTGGGTGTGTACTTGAGATGGTCCATTGTCCTGTCCATTTTACTACTACTTAAAAGGGCGGGTATTGGTAAGATAGGCTGGGTGACAGACTGCGTCAACCATTGGCCGACATGTAGACACCTGAACACACATTCCTCTCTTTCCTGACTGTCTCTCAATATAAACCCTTCAAAAGACACCGGTCTTCAGACAACAAAAGCAAAAACTCGTACAAAGCAAGAAACATAGCAAGCAAGGTATATATCCCACTTCCTCAACTCCGACACAATAAACACCAAATTCCTCTTTCCATCCACACGAGCAAACACCTTTTTTCATCGGTTCGGTTCATCCTTCAACCAGATCAACCTTGGACAAGAGACTTCAGACTTCCAGTCTTCAAGCCTCATAAGTGCCCAAAGGAGTCGGCGCCCTCTCGCTAACCGGCGTCTGCACCCCTCCTCCATTGCCATTTGTCCTGATCGTCAGGTCCGGTCTGTTCTGACCCTGACTCATGCCCACCATAGTCGCCTGAAAATTAGCAGCCGTAGCAGTCGCCATCTGCTCTCTATTCTCCAAGTTGACAATGATCTCCATGGCCTGATCGAGTCGCTCCTTTTCGACCTTCAGCATCCTGCGCTTGCGCTCGGTCTCAGGACCCTCGCTCATCAGCCTGTTGAAGATCTCGGGTCCGGTGCCGGTGGTGCGACTATACAGGCCCAGCTTCTCGTGGAGGTAGGTGTCGATCACGGAGGCGACCCGAGGCAAAAGGCCGGACATGATGTGAATGGATACAATGTCAATGAACCGGCTGGCTGCCGTCAAGTAGTAGCCTCGCACGTAAGCGGCAACTGTGATCTCTTGGTCGTACGGATCCGGGCCGATGAGCTTGATTTCTTTGGCCATTCTCGCCTGTTCCTGCGCCAGCTCCTCCTCCGTCAGCTCCTCCATCTTACGGATTGCTGGGGACTCGCCGGTTCGCACGGCCATGCGAAGGAAGTGGCGGTGACGCTCAAGGATGCGTTTCTCGGCTGCCTTGTTGCGTTGGAGGGCGTCCTCGTCCTTCGTGAAAATGCGTTGAGTCTCGAGATTGTAGATGAGGTTCAGCTGGTTGCGAACTTCCTCCTTGTGCTTCTCCATGAAAGCCTTCATGTGCTCCACGGACTCGCGGTAGACCATACGGTTCTTCAAGTTGGAAAAGGCATTGTCGAGAATTTCCATGACCTCGTTTTGAAGGAACTGGATCGTCTGATTGACAAAGTTCTCGAGGTGAGGACCCCAGGTTCTGGCCGCCTCAGTGTACAGCGGCTCGTAGACGGAGGCCGACACCAGCCCGGGCTGACCGGGTATAGCACTCCGCCTAATGATTGTACGAAGCTCCCTCAGGTTTTTGGAGCGGGGAGCCGAGCCGCCGCCAGGTCCTGGAGAGAAGGGAAAGTTTCCAGGTCCTGGAGTACCCCGCATGGCCGCAGAAGTCGAGGGAGACATGATCATGCGGTCGCTCTCTTCGGCCTTGATCTGGCCGCGACGCTTCGACGGCGTCATGTTGATGTCTTGCGCGAGCGACCTCTTTCTGGGGGTTTGACCCAGCGGAGCAGGACTGGGCATTGGGCTGTTACCATCAATGGTTATCACGTCCGGCTCCTTGACGTTGAACTTCGGCTTGCTACCGAGGATTCGCTTTTTGAAGGGTTCGGCGAACAGGCAGTCCCACTGGCTCATGAACTCCTGTTGGAGCACGCGGGTTTTGAAATTGGTCGCGAATTCTGCCAGACTACGCATGATTTCCATCTCGGGATTCGGGGGGGGATTGGGGTACTTTTCGAGCTGCTCCTCGATTCTGAGGAGACGGTGGTGTACCTTTTGCTTGACCTCGGGGAGACTGGAATAAAATTGGTTAGCACCAGAGCCACGCCACAAAGTCATATTGGAGAGAACATGAAAGACTTACACCTTGGAGAATTCCCGACCAAGCGTGAGAGACAAGAACTCCTTCAGCTTTTCAATACCGCACCTATCACGGTATTTCTCGAAGATCTCAGGCCACTGGCCCATTGACGCGGAGTCCGCAGTCCTGTTGAAGAAGGCCTCTTCGAACTTGTTCTGCTCGTCCAGATCACTACCCTGGCGAGAAGTAATGAAATATCCCAGGCCCGTCCGATGAGCTTGCTCATTGAGCATCGACAACCAAGAGGAAAAGCCGTTCAATTCCCTAGGCAAAAGATCGGCCTTCGTCATGACTCCCACGCAGCGATCTTCCGCGTTCATCTCTTGGATCAGCTTAAACGCGAAGCTGTTCTCGGCATCCAGGTTCATGGGCACAGCCCAGAGGATGATCGCATTCTGGCGGGAGATATACTCGCACGTTAGGTTGCGGACGACTCTCTCCAAGAACCTGTCCTCGGGGCGCTTGGCCGTGATAAAGACACCAGGTAGGTCGTAGAAGTTGAGGTCGGCCAGATCTGGGCCCTTTACCTCGAGGGCGACTGTGTTGGGCGAGAACTGTGCCTCTCCATGGGCCTCTTTTTCCTTGATGCGATCCATATGCTCACGACGAGTGGCGTCTGATTGCACACTCTCATTCTTGAGACGAGGGACGAAAAAGCGATAGGGCGTGCCGGGGTTGAGGATGGCTACCTGAGCACAGCGGAGAAGGGTCTCAATCTCTTCGGCATCGAAGCGATCCCGGATTGTCTTGAACTCCTTCCGAGTCTGGTGGCTGGGATCGAGTTTCACCCACGGTGGGAACCTGTCGCTGTTGGTGACATCTTGGAGAGTGATAGGATGGTTGCGGGGGACAAATTCATAGTCCTCCTTGAGGAATACTCGACAAGACCACTCGTCGGCGCGAGAGATGCGAATATGAATGGGGCATCTAGTGCAGGTTCCACTGCTCCTGGGAAGGCTGAGACCGGCGATTGCTGACATCAAACTCGACTTTCCGGAAGACTGGTCGCCAACAAGGACAAGTTCGGGAAGACTGACGACATGTTGAATGCCTCTTGCTTGGAGCTCGCCCAAGGCATCGTTGATATCCTTGAGTTCTTGGCCAAAATCCTTGAGTGCTTGGCCAGGGCCGACAAAAGAGCGATCCATGTTGGCGAAGCTCCTGGGCGTAGGAAGGTCCTGCTCCACGATTTCGCTCTTGGTCTTCACTTCCATCAGCATGCATTCATCATCATCCTGGTCTTCACTGTCGACCTCCATGTCGCCAATGACTGACGCGCCAGGCGCAAGTCTGGTGTCCACGCTAGCTGTGACGAAATTGTCAGTTTTCGATCACCAAACTGAGTTCAAGGAGGGCGATCTGGGACTTACGGGCATCTGACCGCTGCATGCGTCTCTCCACTTCTGAGGGTGCAAAGTCCACCGTCAAGTTGTCGTCCTCCTCGTCCCTGGGCAGTTGATGGCCGGGTGGCTGATAACCGGGTTCCCGTTTGATGCGGGCATGTTGATTTGCGCGGTGCATGTTCGTTTGAGCCTGTCGGAAAGAGTTAGATTTTTCAGTGTCAAGGAAAAGAATCATCAAGCGAAGGATAAGAGTGAAAAGTAAATTTTGTAAACTTACCATGATAAACACTGGACTCACCCTGTGAAAATGCGATTCAGCAAGGAATCATGAAAACCTAAGATCCAGCTGAGGCCGATTACACCAGCGACGAATCCAGTTCGTGATGATTATCCGTTGGTGACAACAAGGAGTGATAGTTACAATGACAAAATGCGAGGATATCCAGACGGGTATGAGTGAAGATCTGGGTTGGGTATCTGGTGGGGAGAAGATGTAAGTGCCTTGGAGTATTCCAACGACCAAACAAGATGGTGGGGTAGATGGGAGAAGAGGAAAAGAGGCAGCAGTCCAATCTGGACGACGAGAGGACGGAAGAGGATGAGAGGGCAGGTCTCAGGTCCAGCTCCTATTGGTGCTAGGCGCTGCTAAGGGAAGCAGGGTAAGTGTGAGACAGCATTAACAGATTCAATCTTGGAGAGGAGGATGTAAGGTGGAGGGAGGAAGCGAGGTCGAGTGTTGTAAGGGAAACGGATATCAGATTCGCGATAAGAAACAAATCCCAATGCAAGAACACCAAGTCCCAAGTCTCCCGGTGTGTGCCTGAATTATGGTGGGACGTATTCAATCCCGTCCGATATAAAATTACCCTTGCAAGCACTTTGCGAACAATGGGCTGTCCTCTTTCACGGTTGCCACAGCAATTTCAGGCGGGGAGTGGTGACTTTGGTTGGCTTCCGTTACCTTATCGAGTTGTCGAGGGCCCCCTCCAATGGCAGCAAACGCGTGTTCGTCGCGACTTGGAAATCTGCCACTTTACGCGACCCCGGCCGTGTCTGGCCAACCCTGGTCTGCCTCTACCGTATCAGTACGGTATCGTGGGAAATGGTCCAATGAGAAAGGTCATTTGGACACTCGACAACTGTACAACTGAACGGAAATGGAAGCATAGCAAACACATCTTGCATCACATGTAGAGACCAGGAGTGTCAAGGGATTGAACAAAGGATTGTGTAAATTATTTCAGGTGGTGTTAATTTCATCTTGATAATGTTGACTTGTGGTGCTCTTGGCTTGGATCTGTCGATGGTGACGATACTTGGTACATAACTTCCTGCCACTGCCTGCCGGCGGGACTTTCACAGCTTCTGCCGTTCAACGCTGGGCACGTTGCCAGCCGCAACATTTGGCCCCACCACTACCTGCAAAGACGACAAAGTGGGGAAAGAACCAATCTGCAGCGCCAGTCATCGAGGCCGTGCCCGTCGCCCCTGTCCCCCTGCCTCCAAAAACAGAGTTGGGTCGGGTGTTCACGTGGGGCACCGCCGTGAGACCGGGGACTGCCAGCTTTCAGGGGATTTGGGGATGGAGAGCTAATGTAAGCTCTGGTGTAGCAGTGGACCTGTTCTGGTGTCCTCTACCTAGACGTAAGAAGCCCAGTTACACCATTGATCGCAGCACCAGCGTACGACATCCCGTCTTTCGAGACTGTCTAATTAAACACTACTTGTTGATCTCTTCAATCTTTTTCTTTTCTCCTTCTCTCTTTTACATCTCCCGGCGTCTCTTCTTATCCCAAGTAACGATTGTATCAACTTGAACCACACTTTGGGAACCTATACACAAACGATGTCTCTCCAGGTCCCTTACCACACCAAGGCCAACGGGGGCGCTGGCGGCGCAACCAAGGCGGTCATCCTGGTGAGTAGTTCCAGACCTCTCCTCCTTGAACTGCTGCTACGGAACCTTCCTCCACCGTGAGTCGTGGTTGTGTAGTCATCGGGGTAGCTTCCATCTGAGACAAGCAAGCAATTGTTAACATCATCTAGGTCGGAGGTGCCTCGCGCGGTACTCGCTTCAGACCCCTTTCCCTCGATGTCCCCAAGGTATGTCAACTGCCAACGACCATTCTCCAACAACAAAAGTCCTAAAATATCCCAAATTGGCTTTTTTACCTAAGCTAACCATTCACCGACAACTCACCACCTATAGCCCCTCTTCGACGTCGCCGGCCACCCCATCATCTGGCACTGTCTTACCGCCGTGGCCAAAGTGCCCTCGATCCACGAAGTTTACCTGATCGGCTACTACGACGAGTCCGTCTTCCGGGACTTCATCAAGGACGCCGCCCACGAGTTCCCGCAGCTGACCATCAAGTACCTGCGCGAATACCAAGCGCTGGGCACCGCCGGCGGGCTGTACCACTTCCGCGACATCATCCTCAAGGGGCGTCCGGAGCGCCTGTTCGTTCTCAACAGCGATGTCTGCTGCTCATTCCCCCTGGGCGAGATGCTGCGCCTCTTTGAAGAGAAGGACGCCGAAGCCGTCATCATGGGCACGCGCGTGTCGGAGGACGCCGCGACCAACTTCGGCTGCATCGTCAGCGACGCGCACACGCGCCGCGTGCTGCACTACGTCGAGAAGCCCGAGAGCCACATCTCCAACCTGATCAACTGCGGCGTGTACCTGTTCGCGACGGAGGCCATCTTCCCGTCGATCCGCACGGCCATCAAGCGGCGCACCGACCGGCCCAACCGGCTGATCCGCTATCCCTCCGCCGAGAACCTCGAGTCCAGCTTCTTCGCGCAGCAAGCCGCCGACGAGGACGACGAGGAGTCCGAGAAGCGCTCCGAGGTAATCCGCCTCGAACAGGACATTTTGTCGGACATGGCCGACAGCAAGCAATTCTTCGTTTACGAGACGCAGGATTTCTGGCGCCAGATCAAGACGGCGGGTTCCGCCATCCCTGCCAACGCGCTGTACCTGCAGAACGCGTGGCAGAATGGGTCGCCCGAGCTGGCCCAGCCGCAGCCGAACCACATCATTGCGCCCGTGTTCATCCACCCGACGGCGCGCGTCGATCCCACGGCCAAGCTGGGCCCCAACGTCTCGATCGGTCCCCGCGCTGTGGTCGGTGCCGGCGCCCGTGTGAAGGAGAGTATCGTGCTGGAGGACTCCGAGATCAAGCACGATGCTTGTGTGCTGTACTCGATCATTGGCTGGAACAGCCGCGTGGGCGCGTGGGCCCGTGTTGAGGGTACGCCTACGCCCGTGACGAGCCATACGACGAGCATCATCAAGAATGGCGTCAAGGTGCAGGCCATTACAATTTTGGGCAAGGAGTGTGCAGTTGGCGATGAGGTGCGCGTGCAGAACTGCGTGTGCTTGCCTTTTAAGGAGTTGAAGAGGGTGAGTTATGCTCTGTTGTGTTGTGGTTCCGAAACTTCTATGACAGTGATGCTAACAAGTTTCTTAACAGGATGTTGCCAACGAGGTTATCATGTAAAAGAAAATGATGCCATAAGCAGGTGTGAAAAGATTTGACGCGAATGGATGGATGGATGATGAGATACCACTGAAGCCGAGCCGCTTCAATAAAGAACTAATGCAATCGCCCATTTCATGGCTATCTACCATCAGACTTACTGTATCTCGTTGTTGAAAACGCTGAGCAGCTACAAAGCAGATAGCCCGGTCAGAGCACACTTCCCATGGACAGAGAAAAGTTCAATAGTAATGGTAACAACCTGCATTTTTTGCTTTTTTAAATCTCAGATCTGCTAGTCAGAAACGTGCAAGGTGCCGGGCTAATGGAAGACAGCGACAGTAACTACACCACACTTTATGTCCATCTTGACGCATTTACATACTAGCCTGTGCCTTATGGGCTCATGCAAGGCTGGACGACAATAGGCTTTCTAGCCATATAAACTTCCCCATCATCAGCGATACCATTCGTCAAGAAACAACCGGATTCATTGCATCAACTCTCAGGCGTGGCCACTCTTTCGTCTGCTCACGAGCATCATGATCGGGCTCTCCTCATCCTCACTGTCAAGAATTCCCGGGAACATCCTCTCTGTCTGCGATATCTGCAGCGGCTCGAAATCGAACGACATGGCGGTTGGTGGATATCTGTTGTTAGGGTCGTCCACCAGACTATCACCGATGGGCTCGTCAGCGGGAGTCGCGTCCTCCATCTCTTCTGGGACTGGATCAGGTCGAAAGAAAGCGGGCGTAACAGCAAAGGACGAAGGACCTTGCTGTGCTTCCGGAGGAGTATCCAGCAGATGGTTCTCATCGATGCTCTCCAGGAAGTCAGACACAGCTTGGGCGTCCGGTGTGGAAGGCATACGTGCGGGAGGAGGAGGAGCGACTTTCGCCCTTTTGGCTCTCGTGTTCGAGACATTGCCTCCTCCTGCCGGACCGCTGTCATTTGCGGCAAGTCTCTTGCTGCTTCTCGTTCGGGACAGTTGACTTTGCTGTGTCTGACTCTCGCGTACAACCTCTTGGGTTTCAGGCAGATTGGATGTCACGTCTTCGTAGATTTGCTGCACGACATTAGCCACGGTGCATGTCTCTGGGCCTTTGGTCACGGGATCGTTGCCCGACTTACCAAGGGACGCTTTGGCCTTCTCCTTTGAGTGCTGGGAGGTCTTGGGGTTGGGGCCTGCTTCTGTGTCAAGGCTGGCTTCTGTGCCACCGTCTTCGTCACCTGCTTTGCTTTCACGTTCGGCTTCTTTGCCGCGGGTCGGGTCGCCTTCTTTTGAGGAGCCTTTGCTCTGGCTTTTGCTTGTGACCCTTGCTTCTGAACAGGGGAAGCTTTGTGTTCATCTTTGGTCGCTTGTTCTTTCTGTGGCTGGCTCGCTTTCTCTATTTCATGGGCTCGCAATGTTCTCTGCCGCGTGTTGATGGCCCGCATTGGTTCTTGGGCCGCTTTGCGTTTGGTATTTGCTTGTTTCTTGAGCTTTGTGGCTTCAACATCCTGGGGCGTGCTGCCACCTTGCACAGATGGTGAATCTGACTTAGAAACGTTGGTGCAATGACTGACAGGAGCGACAGGCACGCTCTCGATCGGCTGAGGATGTTGTCTAAGTGGTTCTATCCTATTTCGGAGGTCAGCATAGAGAACAACAGAATGGAAAGTGTCTGCATACTCTAGCTTCGCGATCAAGTCATAGCGGTAAGCCTCTTTCTGCTGCAGCTGGAGATTCGCATCGTCGAATTCGGTACGGTCAAACTTCCAGACACCAATAGTGGGAATATCTGGTAGTTCATTGGCGTGGAAGGCCATAGCCCAATACAGAGGTCCTGTAAAAAGTAAGTCAGTTGCAATCTGGATAGTAGGTTTTCCCTCTGTAGGGTAGCCAAAAGTGCCTGGGATGCATGCTGTGTCTACTGCAGCTGGGTTGGGTGTGTAATGATAGCCGTGCTACTCACCGTCAAGAGAGGGAAGCCGGCTAAGATAGTCACCCAGGTTCCAGAGCTTGAAGTTGCTGTCGGATATGTGATACTCCCCGGTGCCTGCTCTCCAGATGTCGATCCCACATTTTCCGCCAGGGGGGTACTTGAACACCAAAGTGTAGTACTCGATCAAGCAGTCTTCGTCCCAGGTTTTTGATCTCAAGAAGCTAATGCGGAATTTGACCAAATGTTCGGTTTCGAGAATGGGAAATATGTCGTTAGTCTAGTCCAGCAGAAAGTTAGTGATACCGTGTCTGGAGTGGGTGTGCAAAGGTGATCAGCCCTAACCAGGATCCCCATGAAGCGTTTGAGAGAGTAGTCGTCGTCCTTGTGCAGGAATACAGTGGTCAATTGTTCCCTCAAGATTTCTCCATCGAAGGTCGGTATGCCTGATCTTGAGGCCATGGTTTCTTCAAACGTCTTTGAGACAATGTCACTCAGGGACAAGACATGGAAGAAGTCCGATGGGAAAGCGCGTCTGAAAATGGTCAGTCGTGATTCCAGGAAGCGGAAGAGTGCTTCAAGCCACGACCAAACTCGGCAATAGTTCATACCGAGCATATAGTATCTGGCTGATCTGTAAAAGGGTTTTAGTTTTGGCGAGATATGAAGAGGTCGGGTTTCCTGGCGCAGTGGACAAGGAAGGGGACGGCACTCACGGCAGCCACAAACACTGTCTTGCACAGCTGGAAGTCGCGCTTCCACAATCCACGAGCTCCATACGTCTGCGGATTCGGCATGTCGAGATGATAACAGAGTTACACGATCAAGGAACTTCGGCGATGGTTGATCAAGGGGTTTCATGAAGTGAAGGATGTGGGATCTCGGTCATGATGACTTCGAGAAATGGTAACACAAAAAAAACCTTTGTGCGAGAAAAATTGAAATTGAGATTTCGGCGAGTCACTTCGAGTTGGGAAGGAGCACACGGGAAGCAGTGGAAATATTCGAGTTTGGAATTGGGAAGGTGCGGACGCTGCGCGGAAGAGAGAAGAGCAAAGATGGAAGGAGCCCTCTAGTGTGCTCGATCTCGACCACAATCTGTGTGCAGCCAGCCGATGTTCATCACTTTTGTTCTACCATCGATAAATGACCGTGAAGCCATCGCTACACCATGGAAGTTTGTGTGTGTATATTTGTGATATGTTTTCAGTAGGTTGTAAGTCTACTACGTGTTGTATGCTAATGTTCAACGCCATGTCTATTCGGTAACACCTCCAGACTCCCGTACTTCGTCATCTTAGCAGCTCGTCATATTCGATGCTTAGCAAGTTCGCTTGAAGAAGGAAGAGTGCCAAACTGAGACGGGGAGATGTGATTGCGAGGATATCTTTAGACACTCGCAATTTCTGGTTGTAGGAACACCCACGAAGCCTGGACATCCCGGAACATGGCCAGCGAGAGGATGTGGCTGCAGCGTTACAATGGTTCATAGGATGGTTGAGTTGGGTAAGGGGATCGGATCACATCATATACCGAGATTGACATGTTGGCTGGAAGTCTTGGACGGGGTGATCCTCCGTTAGGGTCTTTGATCTATCGGTTGACAGAGACCTCCGTAATCTGAATAGCATCATTTTCAGGCCGTCCCAGAAACGATAAGTAGTGCAACAATTATTCGATGAGAAAAGCCATAATTCCAAGTTGTGGTCGAGACGTGTGTTCTGGGAAGAATCCAGGGAAGGAGTCCAAAGCTCCCGTCAGAAGATGCCAGTTTTGTGTTCCCCTACTCATCGCCCACCCGGGTGTTTGAAGAGCAATGCAATCCGGATTGTCCGATGCCACAGGTTCTCTCGCCTTCGAACATGAGTTTCTGCGCGAATGAAAGCTTGTATTTCCCATGATAAGGGCTCGCAGCGCTGTGGCTCTCCTGTATTGATACATCACCCTTCCTGTGCCAAACTTACGAGCATGTTGTTCGATTTGCACTTCCAAAAGCACAGCTAGCTGGCCTCAATGACCTCCATCAGCCTCGGACTCGCCCCCGAAGTCTTCGAAATACTGACTGCGTCACACATATATAAGATGCAATGGTGATCGGGCATGCATAAAGCAAACACGAATCATGAACTCGTGAATCGTGAGTTGGGGGCAGGCGCTTGGACCAACAGACAGAAGCCGGGCTGCCAGGATGTGCTCCGGCTGGCAAAAGCAAGGAAGAAGCCCTGGAGGCGAAGTCGCTTATACCACTTGCAAGTCTGCGCAAGAGTGGTTCGTGCAGAGCTTGAGGCTTGAGCTAGACAGCTTCATTTTCCAACTTGAACTTTGAATCGCTACACTGCAGCCGTAGGAGTGGTATTGGGTCTAGGGAAGAATATAGTAAGAACTCTAATTTCGAGTTTGCGGTGTTTTGTGGATTTAAGGGTTTTTAATTTTTAATTTTTAAATTTTTTTTTATATTGCTCGAGTTACTCCTGGATCGAGAGAATCAGGAGCATCTACCTGGGACTCAGCGAGACGAGGAACTTGTAGAAGAGGGCGCCAAGACTGCAAGTGGGATAAATCGACGACACCGCGAAGGGGCAGGTCGGCAAAAGGGGACCCGAGTGACCCACACTAAAAGCGTCGACGACGAATCTCTCCTTCTCCAGAGTCCAGGATTCAAGGATGAGAGTTGTTGAGTGGTGATGGCAATCTGTGGCTGACAGTTGTGGCATTTGGCTGCTCCTGAAGGACTGGAGTCGAATAGCTGGACTTTGAAAGTGTCACCGGGCCGAGTTCAGGTCCAAGTTTGTTGCTGGCAGACTGACAGAGGCATGCCAAGTTCCATGTGCACGCTGTCATCCAGGACGAGGTCGACGAAGGTGATGATCTGTATTCTAGGAACCCCATCGAACAGGTCAGTCATTGCAAGGATGACATGGATATACCTCAGGGCTTGGGGCTCAGTGACGTATCGTGATGTGTCGTTGGCCTAGAAAACAGCAGAACCTTTGAAAGACGCTGGCTCGCTCATGCCAGCCAGCGGCTAGGTTGTGGTGGTTCATCACTGACGATGGTTGGATCGTGATGGCAGCAATGACAGTTGCTCGTTCATAAAAAGTGTATTCTTGCTGGAGACGACGGGAGTGCATGGATGCGGGACACTTTTTTGGGATTCACTCTGCCAACCTCGTGTCTCTGAGAGCAATGGGTCCTTGTAGCGATGTATTGTTGCCTGTCGGACGATGCAGCCACTCAGACAAGACAATCCATACCACTGGGCACAGTGAGCGGCATCCAGCTGCTGCCAGATGGCATGCTCGATCTGACAGGGGCCAGGTTCTTGCACTGCATCACATCAGCAAGAACCGCCCCAACACTGAACGAAGCTGGAAAAGCAGAAAGTCAATGAAACGACAATTGCAATAAATTTGCATATATGAAAAGGTACACAGCCCCTAGAGGAGTAGAGGCAGGTACGGTGTACATACTACAGTCATCTGCGGCGCGGGCGGATATGCAGGATGGATTACGGAAAGGTGCTATGTACAAAATAAAAGGGACAGGTGGAAGCCGGACAGTTTGTCACCGACTCCTGTCCTTTCTGTCATGGAAGAACAGGGCAATCTATCGTGTGTGTTTCTCTCCATGTCTTGGTCTGTCTCCCACTCACTGGTCAAATTGCAACACCAAGCAGTTGCAGAAGATGCATCGCTACCTGCGTTTGCGTATGTGCATATGTTCAACTTAACCAGGTGCATTACCTATATATCACTGCTAGGAAACATATGTTCTTGAGGCTTTAGTAGCATATAAAGATCTGATCCGGTTCAGAGTCAAATTCTTGGTTTTTAACCTTCTTCTCTTTTTCATCAGTAGGTATCACACTGCGACCCCTGTCGAGGTCCGCTTGGAACACCGTCCCATCCAACCCCACCTGGCCAACGCTGTAAATCGGCGGTTCCTGCCCCCTGGCCCTCACGATCGAGAGCAGGACCCATGCTCGCCAGCCTTGTCACTTCCCTCCCAGCTTTTAAAATGAAGCGCACGTCGACGACCACCGACCCTCCCGCCCAGACATTCAACGCCACCGAACTACCGCAAACCAAGGATCCCGCCAGGGGCAGGCAAGCTTCTTGTCCGACAGCCCACCGACAGGCAGTCCTGAGTTCAGTCCCAGAGTCTACGGTCTATTTCAACCCAGGGGCAGGTCGGCCGTCCAACCAAAAGCACAACAATTTTTTAGCTGAGGTGTTCTGTCGTGTCAGTGCCCGGTCCATCCCACGCCCAAATATTTACCTAGAGGTTGTTCACTCGTTGTTCGCCTTTCGCCCCCCTGCCGCCGCTCAACCGCCCCGTCCGCCCCGTTCCCCAGTCATCCATCCCGTCCGCCGCTTGCCTTTCAGTTTCGTCCCACACAGGTCCATCAAAAACTCGCTTGGTCATTCCGCCGACCGACCCCTTCCTTCCCTTTGCCAGGGACTCGAACGCATTTCAAATTCCAAGTCCGGCCCACGCCATTTCTCCCCTTGCCCTTCGTCCTCTTTCACCTCCACAGGGCTGCGCTGCACAACCACTTAAACCTGGACCCGCGCGAACAGACCCTTTTTCCCCGTCAACGTCAGCAAACCTCAACGTCAACCCAACCAACCTACACGTTGGTTACGGCACGCCACGCCACGCCATGCCCTCGTGCCATTCAACACTATAAAACCTGCCTGCTTGCCATCGCGTGAGGTGGATATCATCACGGACAAAGACGCGTGTGGCGACCACCCACGCAGCCCGCGACTTGGAACGCGTTGGAAGCCCATGACCAGCATCACCGATACAGTCCGAATCAGGCATTCACCTTGTTTCAACAGGAATCCTCGTTGTGCCCTTCAGGGTCCTCAACCTCAGCCTATTTAGCGCACCCCGGACTTCGCTTTTTTTTTCCGGTCGATAATCAACATTTCCGTTCGTTGTCCGATTGACTCCTTTTGACCACCAACGTTGGCCTTATATCAACCAACGATGCCTGTGGGATTGGATGACCCGCGACCGACGGCACTTCAACCTGCAGACATGAGTTCTCCTACACCTATCCGAAAGATTATCGCGGATCGCCCGCCACGATCGAAGCAGCGGGTCTCGGCGACATGGGCGGAAGAAGATGGTCCTTCCCCGAACACGCGTGCCTTCATGCATTCCAAGCAATACATAGAGACGAAGACGATCACGACTACGACGACTACGCAGCGGACATTTTCTCCCATCCAGATACGAGAACCACAAATGCTCGACCCCAAAGAATACCCGCTGGCTCAGCAACCGACGCCCGCGTTTCTGAAAACCTTCAAGTCCACATATACGATTCCCGATGGATCTGAATACAATAGTCCGAAATGGTCTTTGGCTGGTGGCACGGGAGCCGATGGGGGCTCCTCTCAACATCGACTGGAAGATAACGACTACACAGAGGAGGCAACAGTCGAAAGTGGGGGGTCTTTTACCCCTTCTTTTATCAAACGACGCCCGCGGCCCAAAGGATCTCGACGACCTTGCAGTCGTTTTGAGTCTCACATCAACAGCCCTTTGCCTAGGCTCATGGAGCTTCGTCGCGCATTAGCAAAAGGCCCACACCTTCAACGCCACCCCCGGACGGATATTGATTATTTGGCCACACCTGACGAGGCGGAAAGGGTTAGCGGTGACTTTGATGATGATGCCCCGCCGCTTCATCTTCCAAACCCCACGGAAGCCGAGACAAGCCAGTCAACCGCTTATGATGATGCAGAGAGCCAGGCTGGAAGCGAGACCCAGACCGTTTTCAGCGCGGTTGCCACGCCCCCCGTGACGGACGCCGAACATCAGCCCGTTGCCGATTATGATGAGCCTCTTCAACAAACGGTCAGGGGGCTGCACGCGAGCCACGCCATTAGTGCAGTAGCTGCACAAGACGCCAGTTTGCCTAGTCCGCGCCTATCGCCTACGCTTGCTGCGGCTCAGCTACAGCTTGTTCCTTCGGACGATGAGGGTGCTGATGACGAGGGAACGGCCTCTGCTCATGCTTTTGGCCGTGGCGGCCCGGGTCAGTGGCTAGACGAGACTGAAAGAACCGGTGATGCAGACGCTGAGATGGTCGACGACTCGCTTGTTCTGTCACCAGCCCAGTATGATCCTACCATCTCCCCGTCTCAGTTCGAGGGAGCCTTTCAGCAGGCGCTGATGAACCCGGCATGATAATCGACAGCTTCGATGCGATGCCCACCCAGTTGAAGTCATGGATGATATATCAGCTTTTGCGTCGGTGCCCCAGGAAGACTCTTCAGGCGGTTGCTGATGTTGTCAACCCAGCCTTGAAGTGCGATTTCTTCCGCCGTCTTCCTACCGAACTCAGTCTCCATATTCTCTCCTACCTGGATCACCGCGATCTTTGCCGGGCAGCACAAGTATCAAAACAGTGGCGCAATATCATCGATAGCAACGAAACGGGTTGGAAGGAGTTGTTTGATCGGGATGGGTTTCAGCTTGCTCCTGGCGAACTTCAAAAGGCCATCGCCCAAGGGTGGGGCTGGCAGGATCCTGTTGGCGCGTTGGAAGGCGAGGTCGACCTGAGCCAGCATTCCAGACTGACATCAAGCGAGTCGGAGCTGTTCAAGTCTGCCGCCAAGTCTGAGAAGTCAGACAAGGCCGACTCCAGCCCTACTCCCAAGATAAGGTCTTCGAAGCGCAAGCGTAACGCAGGCCACTCGAACACTGAAAGATCCAAGCGCCGCGTCAGCTTTCAGGACCTCAGAGAAAGTTTTCATCAAACCCACAGATCCGAGGGTCCTATGTCAGCCGCTAATGCCGCTGCTTTGGCCGTTCCTGACCCCCAGATTGGGCTTCCAAGTCTACGTCGGCTTCATCTCTACAAGTCTCTGTACAGGAGACACTACATGATTCGCCAGAACTGGACTAGCGGAAAGGTTAGGCCCAGTCACGTCGCCTTTGCGGCGCACCCTCGACATGTCATAACATGCCTGCAGTTCGACGAGGACAAAATCATCAACCGGTAGTGACGACACGCTGATCCATGTCTACGATACAAAAACCGGCAAGCTGCGTACGAAACTCGAGGGCCACGAAGGTGGAGTGTGGGCTCTCCAATACGTCGGAAACACGCTGGTTTCGGGTAGTACCGATCGGTCTGTCCGTGTTTGGGATATCCAAAAGGGCATTTGCACCCAAACATTCTATGGACATACGTCTACTGTCCGTTGCCTGCAAATCCTCATGCCGACGGAGACCGGGGAAGTGAAGAATGGCGAGCCGGTCATGATGCCCGAGAAGCCCTTGATTATTACTGGTTCTAGGGATAGTCAGTTGCGCGTCTGGCGCCTTCCAGAGCCGGGCTCTCGCCGGTACATTATGAACGGACCTGCGGCTAATGAAGAGAACTGCCCGTATTTTGTCCGTATTCTTCAGGGCCACGCGCACTCTGTCAGGTCCATTTCGGCTCACGGCGATATTCTCGTTTCGGGCAGCTACGACAGCACCGTTAGGGTTTGGCGCATCAGCACAGGCCAGCAGCTCCATGTTCTGTCCGGCCACAATCAAAAGGTTTACTCGGTGGTCTTGGATCACAAGCGGAACCGATGCATTTCGGGATCTATGGACAGTTACGTCAAGATTTGGGATCTGGACACGGGTGCATGCTTGTACACCTTGGAGGGGCACAGCTTGCTGGTCGGACTTCTCGACCTGCGTGACGAAAAGCTGGTCTCGGCCGCGGCAGATAGCACGCTGCGCATCTGGGACCCAGAGAACGGGAAGTGTAAGCACACCCTCATGGCTCACACTGGAGCGATCACGTGCTTCCAACATGATGGCCGCAAAGTCATCTCCGGAAGCGAGAAAACAGTGAAGATGTGGGATGTTCAAACCGGCGAATGCATGCAGGATCTCTTGACAGACCTGAGCGGGGTCTGGCAAGTCAAGTTTGACGAAAGGCGGTGCGTTGCGGCAGTGCAGCGTGGCAATTTGACTTATGTTGAGGTATGTACCAATCTCGCTATCACGGCATATGCCGGACGCGGATATGAACTAACTCGAATGCTTCTAGATTCTTGATTTTGGAGCTGTCCGAGACGGAGCTCCGCCCGAGGAACTCGGCAAAAGAAAACTCCTCAATGAGGCCGAAGTTCAACAACTCCTGCTTACAGAAGGAGAATGACCATTTTCGGAACGAAACAAAAGTCGAAGCTCGGAGCGACGAAGAAAGCGACAAACGACAACGACAACGACAGCGGTTACTAAAGCATGGATACCCAATCTTGGCTTTCGAACAAGCAGCCTGTCAACAGCGTGGAACCTACCAAATCAATAATTCACCCTTCTACAATCAGTGGAAGGGAGGAACAACACAGTGGAAGGTCGACGCGCTCAATTTCTTGGGCCGCTGGACACACACTGCTCGTTTGCAGACGCTAAAGCTGATACTTTGGACGCTATGAGCATTTCTCTTTTTCTTTTAGGTCATGATCATTTACGATGACTTGTTAGGTGTCTATATGGGATATGAAATGGAAACTACACAAGGGCAAATGGGAGAAACAAAGCGAACGGAGTCAGGGAACACACGCATTGCGCGAAATATCGCACATCAATCATCAGCATTTCGAGGTGTTGGGAGCCCGGCCATTCTCACAAAGGTTTTTCCACGGAACGTTTCTTCTGTTCATATTTCTTTTTGTACTTTGTTTTCTTTCTTTTTCCTTGTTCTTCGGCGTTAGCATGTCAGTTCTGATGTTTCGCATATTAGTTTCGTTTGATGGCATTTGATCGGATTTTCTACGTACGCGCCAACTACTTCTCTTTTCAGTCTTGCCCTTTTACTTCGAACGAATAAAGCAGGGAGAAAAGTATCCAACGAATCCGGGGAGGGCAGGGTAGGGTAGGGTAAAGTTGCCCATCCGTAACATATTTTATTCGCATGTTACATTCGTTGTTAATAGTAGTCCCTCCATCCTCAACGGGTATCGGAATGGAATAGTGGTTTATCATCACCAAGCGAACTTTCAGGCACGGGAGTGGGAGCAGGAAAGGAGGAAATGTGATGGTCAAAAGTTCAACGAACGGATCATGGTGGCAGCTACAGATCTGATGATCTGTATACATTAATGATGGCGTTGGTGTTGGTGGCAGGAGTGATAACAGGTAGTAGCAGAACGTACACATTTGGTCTTGATGTTCCTTTCTTTCTGCATCTTTAATTGAGTTCCGGCTATCGTTATCTACCTAAACCACTTAGTTTGAAACAGGCAACAGGTTTTACATAGTAACTTTTATGGGTTTAACTTCTCTCAGATGAAAATGCCGTGGTTGTCTACCGTAGAAACTCAGTTAACTACCGGTACGTGCTTTCATGTTGACGGCCAGGAAATGCAACTGCCACACCGTTGACCCTGCAGGAGCTTTTTTGCCGGTTAAACGAGTTTCTACAGTATGCTCGTGATTTTCGTGACGTTGTGATTTTGTGATGATCGTGTCTGGTGTCTGCACTGCACTGCACTGCACTGCCCTACCAAACACCGAAGCGAGGTGCATAAAAACCGAAAAGGAATGGAAGGAAGGAAGAGACCAGGGCAGGAACAGTCAAGACAACAACAGCATGAAGGGAAGAAAATATCCTAAGATCCAGCACGAGAAAGACATACACACGGGACTTGAGTTAAACCTGCTGCAAAATAGTTTCTACTATATTACTACCATTAAGTTCTATAACTAAGTCTCCTGGTGATGAAGTCGAGTCTATCGACATCAAGGTGTTGGTTGTACCCTCATTATTCCCATGATTGTAACATCATTCCCCTAGAAAATCCTTCATACTAAAGCAGCCATGTAAGTAAGAAACCATTTCTGTCCATGAACAATTGAAAACCCGACGAGAAACCCCGACGCAAAACCCAGAAAGCACGAGTGTCCTCAAGGCAGCTAAGCAGGGAAAGTACGACTGACGTTGGGTCCTTCCTTATCTGCACCGCGTCTCAGATGAGGTGCAGTGCAAATTTTGACTAAGGCACCGGCAGAGAGGGGTGAATCTGCGCCTAATGTAGTCCCTCGTAGAAGTCCGGGTGAGGATGAGCTGCAAGAAGCTTGATAGAAGGAGGTAGCGATCTCTGCTCCGCAGACTGACGGGATGGAAGCCGCGCCAGCCGCAGAGCATGAGCATGAGCAGGAGCAGGAGGATAAGGTAAGTATAACCTGAAGCGCCAGCAGATCGGCCAGCAGCGAGATTAGGTAGGCAGCGAAAATGCCAGCACGCCCTATGCAACATTGGCAAAGATCGATAACCTTGCAGAGCCGCGGGGTTGTGAAAAAAAAAAAAAAAAAAAAAAAAAAAAAAAAAAGAAGAGTTAAAAAGAGCTTTGGTAAGTATGCAATGCAATGCAGACCCTCACTCCAAAGGTATAGGGCCAACCAGTGAAGGGCAACCACTCAACCGTGACGCACTTGTCGGCACGCACCACGAGCACTTCCCGTCTCATTGGCCCGTGACAATTGCGTTTGCGTTCGCATTGTATCGCATCTTTTTTCTCCGTGCCCACACTCTGGAGTATTGGCAATTGTGCACTCAGACTCCGGTTGACAATAACTTGCGTCCAAGGCGTCAAAGTTGCGTCAAACCCGTTCAACCCGTCTAGCCTGTGCAGGCTATGTCCCCGTGCAGGCTCAGGTAGATGTACATATGTATATGCACGTAGATCTCGTTCCACGTTTCCGATATGCTCTCTTCATGCGCGGGCCGGAGGCCGCCTCGGATGATTAACCAAGGGTAAGGTAAGGTTAACCAAGGGTAAGCCCAAGATCAAGGTCCAGGTCCAGGCCTATATCTAGGAGGCCTCCCCCTCCCTTCTCGTTCGGTTGCTTCCCTTTCCTCTCATCATCACCCTTTGCCTGACCATCATCATTACTTTTTGTCCCCCACTCATTGTTGTCCTTCCAGGCATTGGGTTCTGAGGCCATGGTTGATTGGCGTTGTCTTTATCTTCATCTTTTGAATCCGACTTTGCCGGCTTCGTCGACTCATCAGAATCAGACTCGGTGTCGGAGCCATGGCCCCAAGACCAATCGTTACCCCAACCCCATCCCGGCCCCGAACCCGGACCCGATCCCCAGCTGTGATCAACCGAGGCAGAGGAAGGGGAGTGGGCAAGCGATACCGTTACTGTCGAAGGATCGCCATCTACAGTGGAAGTGAAGGTGTCGGGAATCCAGTTCGTGAGGAAGCCCGTAGGATTGGGACGATGAGAGGAAGAGCATGGCGATGTTGACGGAGATGTTGATGTTGAGGTGGAAGTTGACGTCGAGGAGTTCGACGAGCAGCGTGTGGTGATGGTTGACCACTTTGGTCTTTGCCAGGTTGTTTGAGGGATGATGGTTATGGAGGTACTGCTTATCAAGGTGCTGGTGGTAGACGCACATGGGGTTGAAGCCGGCGACGCGGTTGTGGAAGTGGTGGTGGTGGTGGTGGTGGTGCAAGGAGTCGCCTCACTTTGACCATGAACGTGTGACGAAGTAGTCGTCGTCCAAGTGGACGATGGACTCGAAGTCGAAGTTGAAGTCGAAGTCGAGCAAGGAACCGACACACTCTGTACCTCTACCGGAACAGATACAGTTGTGTCGGGTTGCCAGTTCGGCCTTGGATCAGGATGACTCGGAGGCTGAGGGCGAGGATCAAAATGCGGCCATTGGGGCTTAGGCCAAGTAGGCGGACCGTTGTGATCAGCCAAGGGACTTGAAGATCTGGTAGATGTTGTTGCTGGTCTTTCCCACGATGTTGATGTCAATGTCGGCGTCGATGTTGAAGTTAACGCTAACAAGGTGGAGGAGGATGAAGAAGACCATGCCGACGAAGAAGACGATGCCGGTCTCCAGCGGTCATCCATGTCATCACCAGGGGCAGACACGGTAACAGTAACCGTCACCAACCTCTCCCCATCGGCATCAGCGCCACGACTGACGCTGGGTTTGGGATAAGATACCCAATCTGAAAGCCTCCACCCATCGTTCGGACGGGGCCGGGACCAGCCGTTGCCATGAGGATGTTTAGGAATAGGTGCTGACACTGACTGAGTGATAGTAACCACTGAAACCGAAACCGGGACCGAAACTGTCGTCGAAACGGGAGCTGAAGCTGGACCGGCGGACTCAGTGACGGTCACAATCTGAGCCAACAGTCCTCTTTCTGGACCCCAAGCTGGGTCTCCGCCATGATGAGGAGGGGCTTCATGACCCTAACCTGCCTCGGGTCCGGGGCTGGGTCCCCAGCCGAGTTACGGTTGCGGTTGCTGCTGAGGACGAGGGTCCAGACGCGATCGAGTGACTGTAACAGTCCGGATCGTCTGGATCTCAGCCGGCTGAGACCATAACACAGAAGGTAGTGATTCACGAAGTCCAGCACCCTCAGTGACAGTAACTGTTACCACCCCACTGCCGTGCTCGAATACAGCTCGGAGAGCAATGGCAAAATCGAAGACGTCACGGTGACAGTCTCAGCAGAAGAAGCAGTAACCGTGACTGTAGAGGTAGCGTCTCCACATGGCGATGACGATGGCGATAGCGGCAATGGTGGTGGCCCCGGTGGGTAAAAGTTGGCATTGCCGTTTTGAGGAGAAGGATGGTGAGGAATAGCTTGGACTTGGACGGGTAGGGTAGCCCACGCCAGGAGGGCAAGTGAGAGGAGTGAACGTGAACAGGACATTATCGATTAGGAGAACGGAAGAAGAAACTCAAGACGCCGGGTGATGAGTTGGTCGATTGGCGTTTTGTCTGGTTGGTGAACTGAAAGCATGATTGAAGGTGAGTGGATGGGATCAGATTTATAGGAGTTGTTGTTGACGGACGACTTGGGATGTCTTCACCACTACCTTTTGGGATGTTTTGGACGTGGGATGGGGAGGGAGAAGGGCAAGTAGATAGATTGAGGTAAGGGAGCTTTATCAAGGTAGAAATATTGGGTATTTTCACTAATATCAAGGGTCACTATTGCGCAAGGTCAATTCACTTTACTTGTGCCCTGCATGACAAGAAGGGGGTTTTCAAGTTATTGGTACCAAAGTCTCCGACTTTTTCAGGAAACCGATGCGAAGAAGGTGAAATGGTGGTAAAACTTTAACAGTCCAGTAAATAAGTCTTGCTTTGGTCGAAGAAGACTGGTACACAAATGTGATAAGGACCATACCAACAGCATGAAAACACATCGGCCAGCGTCTCTCGGGGATTTGTCCATCCATGAACTACCTAGATATCGGGGTTCCAAGATACAACAAGGAAATATGGGATGCTCAAGTGGAATGTAACCAAGGTTGTAACGTACTGACCATCAGTGACATTTTCGGCTTATTTCTACCACCACTTCGCCTGCATAGCAACAAGTGCCCAAGTCTTCAATCGTTTATGATTCTTCAGGCAGCTTGAAGAAACGGACGCTGAAGAAGACCCTTTTTCCAGAACGTCTTTGGGCATGTAGAGCTCCCTTGTGACGTAAGGTATATATTGAAAGATATTGACAGTCCCTTAGCAAATTGGAGGGATTCGCAGAACCACAAAAAATATATTGCCGATAATATCTTCGAGTGTCTCTCTCGATTTTCAAGCGAAACTTCCCTTGAAGTTTGTCTCAGGAGTGTTGTCATGAGGTCCCATCGTCAGGGGCAACACCCCTGTCCCATAAAAGCCCCACAACCAATGCACTGGGGAAGTTCCCCACAGCAAGTAACATTTGACGTGCGTGGGCGTCCCTTGCAGGGGGGCAGCAGGGCTGACAGCAACGCGACAGCCGCTGTGGGACAACCGGACAAGCATTGACAGCGGCGGCCCGGTGCCCATGGCTAGCTGCCTGTCCCGCAGGTCCAGTCCAGCCAACTTTCCCGGTTTCCAGTTCCAATTTCCATCCTGATCACCACCACCCACGGGCATCCAATTCCAATTCCGGCAACGTCGCCCTTCCACCGACCGGCATTTGACCTGGATTACCTTATCGGCGCGCCGCAGACCTCCCGTCCTCCGCCGTAGAGGTACATGATACACGATACCTACCCGACGTCAAAAGACAATACACCACGCCACATCACATCCACACGAGGCTGGCCTACTTGCTTGCTTACTCAATACCCGGATACCTACCCTACCGTTCGCCAAACTACTCGATCAACCGAACCCTCCACCCCTCTCAGCAACCTGGACCAGAAGACGGGAGAAATAACCGACCGATGCTACACACTCTCTTCAAGTCCATTCGCAGGCGGTGACTAGAACTAGTAGTCACCCTCAACAACATGCCCATGTCCATGGCGCCCTCTGGTCATACTCGAGATTCCAGAAACAGGACGAGGGCCGGTTCCCTTGGGACTCTCGGGTCTATCGAGTCTAAGCATGGCGGCGGCTTGATTGGGTCTGTTTCGCGGTGGTGGATGGTACGTTTGATTTCCCCGTGGAGCTCACGATAGCTTCATGCAAGACCCGACGATTATTACTAGTTCTTAGGACAAAGTGACTAGTTGCTAACTAACACGTTGGTGATTTGCTGTATAGAGATCTTACACCTCAGACTGGGTCGCCTTCTCCCTTCTTCTTGTGGGATACATCTTCATTGCGGCGTTCGTCGAGCCTTTTCATCGATTGTTTACTATTAATGATATAAGGATCTCGTTTCCTCATGCTGAGGTTGAGAGGGTGCCTGTTTGTATGTTTACCCTTCGCCCATCTGCCCTTCTGCCCTTTGCCCTATCTCGTCCCTTCCCACTCACCTCTTTCCTCCCTCCTCTCTCTATTCCCTCCCTCCTCTCTCTATTCCCTCTCTCCTCCCTCACTTCCACTCTCTAGTACCTAACTAACCCTCCTTCTCCCTAACAGCTCACCTCTTCGCCTACGCCCTCTTCCTCCCCCTCTTTCTCCTCCTCCTCACCAATTACCTATTACACTCCCCGCGTCACATCCACCACCTCTCCCTCCTCGGCTTCCTAACTTCCATAATCCTCACCACTTTTTTGACGGACCTAATAAAAAACATGGTCGGCCGTCCGCGCCCCGACCTCATCGCGCGCTGCCAACCACTCCCCGACACGCCCCCCAACAAGCTCGTCGGCGTCGAGATCTGCACGCAAACGGACCATCACACGCTGCACGACGGGTGGCGTAGTTTTCCCTCTGGCCATAGCAGTTTTGCGTTTGCAGGGCTGGGGTACTTGGCGCTTTTTTGGTGTGGGCAGTTCAGGGCGTTTTCTACCTCTTCTTCTTCATCTCCGGGAGGGGGATCTTCGGGGATAATGGATGGGATGGAAAAAGTTTTGGTCAAAAGGGATTTGCTCAAGGCATTGCTTTGCTTATCCCCATTACTGGGGGCGTTGATGATAGCCATCAGCCGCTGCATGGATTACCGGCATGACGTGGAGGATGTGTGTGTCGGGAGCTTGATGGGGTGGGTGATTACTTATTGGAGCTATAGGCGGTATTGGCCGCGGTTGAGCAATGGGAGGTGTGGGGAGCCTTATTCGGGGATGAATGGGGAGCGAGGGGATCAGGGGGATTTGTTGGGTGGGAATGGTGCTCGAAGGTACTCGAGGGTGAGGGATGAGGAGGAGGCGGTGGGAGGTGGAGGGTTTCAGAGAAATGTAGGGACTTCCAGCTTTGTTTCGCCTCCTGATGTGGAGTTGGGGCCTTTGGAGAGCCCGAGATGAGGATGATATGATATGACAGTTAGTGGATGAATGCTAATTAGGATGGTTTTTTATAGATTCTGCCTTGATTTGATACTTTGATGTATCTTGTGCGTGTAACATATGGGGTTTTACCTCTTTAGGTATGGTAAAACTTCCTCATTGTATTCTTGGATGTTGGTTAGATGTATGGTAACATTCATCGATGTATTATTGGATCTTGTTGGCTAGCTTGCAAAGCACGGCGAGCTTCGAAGGAGCATATGGTGGGGATTTGCGACCCGTGTTCATGTCCATTCATCATTTGGCGTATCATGGTCATTCCTTCTATTAGTACAGAAAGCGCTGTCTAGACTAAACGCAGGCCGGCTTTCCACTATGTTCCTTGGGTAGAACTATGCGTGAGATTCATCACTCCTACTTGTCCTCCGTGTTGTCATCCTTCGCCAGGTCGTGTTCCTTCAATAACGCCGTGATCTCGTCCGCGCTCCATAGCCTGTGGTAGATCTTGCCGTCCTTGGTCTGGCCAACCGTCGCGAACTCGACTGTAACAAAAACATTAGCAAGATTCTATCCCCAGTCATTGTATTGCTGGCACTCACTCTTCTCGGGGCTCAGTTTTGTCGAGTCCATGGTCTTGCTCAGCACCTTGACGGCCATGGCGCACGCCTCCTTGAGGTTGCAGTCCTCCTTGTAATCCTGCTTCAGCAAGCTCTGGGCGCTCGCGTTGTTGGCACCCGCACTGGTTGCCTTCCAGCCGCCGTAGTTACCCGAGGGGTTGCTGAGGTAGAGCTGGAACTGACGCTGGGGGTCCCAGCCGGCGTAGATGAAGGAAACGCCAAAGGGACGGAGACCGCCGTGTTGTGTGTAGCCTTGCTTGAGATCGCAGAGACGGCGCACTAGCTGCTCGCAGGGGATGTCCTCGTTGTAGGTCAAAAGGTATTTTTGAGCGGCTTGTCGGGCGTAGTTGATGAGAATGTTGGCATCGGCTGTCATGCCGGCGACGGCGCAGATCATGTTGCTGGAGGGAAGGAAGACATTCAGGTTAGTTGATCGAGACACCTGATTAACAGAAGGTAAGGAATGCGCCGCCTTACTCGTTGAGAATGTAGAGCTTCTCGGCCGATGTGTCTTGCTCGAGGAGCTTGGAGGTGACCTTGCGCTCAGCAGCTAGGACGATGCCATCCTTGGCGAGGATACCGATGGCGGTACCGGCATGCGAAATAGCTTCCAGAGCATATTCGACCTGGTACAGACGACCTTCGGGGGAGAAGATGGTTGTCTGTGGGAAGATGGTGTGTTAGTTTTTGTGTGAACCTCAAGCTTCAAACAAGCTGCCATCACCACCACCACTGACTGCTACCCCCCTCCTCCTCCATTTGGCGATAGGTAAACCAGGCGGCGGCGGGCTGACGGGGTCACTGCCCACTTACTCGGGAATCGTATCTTCTCGACATGGTTCAATTCGATATGGCGATTAACTGTGGGAAATGGTACGGCGGGTTTGACTGGTTCTTGGTCTGTCGTCTGCAAGCGCCAAGTGTGCTTGTCTGTTGCGTGGTGATGTTGTTTTGGTTTGGTTTGTATTTGTCAACAAACCGGAAGCTGGATGGACGTGGAAGGCGGGAAGGCTGATGCTGAGGTGCAGCAGCGCAGTGGACTTCCCTTCAGTGAGTGCTGTCAGGCCGCCCTGGAGCTCCAGGCAAGCAAGCATCCAACGCGTCAGGTACCTCCTTGACTGGAAAAGAAGGTCCAGATTGCCCGCCCGCCAGCTGCCAAACTGCCTGCCGGACTCTCTGGATAGCACTCTGACGTCTTATCCAATAACCACGCTAGTCCCATTCGGGCGGGTTATAGTGAAAGAGCTCCCCTTGCCGTTGCCCGTGAACCTTCAGATGCTCGGCTGCTCAGAGCCTCAGCGCCCGAAACCACCCCGCTTTCCCGCTTCCCGCTGTTAAGCCCAAGCTGGGCAACTTGACTGGCTGCCTAACAATTATCGCTAAGCAACTGCCTGGGGATGTCGGTACAAGATCCGGTCGCCGCCTCCACCTCAGCAAACTCCTCCTTCCAACCTCCACAATTCCGTCACTCAGTCGCGACACGGCTTCTTTCTTCTTTCTCTCTTCAGCGACTTCTTCCTTTGAACATAGTCGGCAATTTCCACGACCGCTACACATTGGATCTCGGTCCTCTTCTCTTGTCGCCCAACTCTCCTGTGCTGTGCTGGCGTCAAATACAATCGATTCTCTGAACCACCGACCGACGCGTTATTCTTCTCTCGACATTCAGTTGTTCCGTCGGCCGTCACGCGAGATTTCCCTGACGATCCCTCCGCATTCTACGGTACTCTGTCGACCTTCTAACGGGACGCGTGGAGCTTGGACCTCTGCAGGAAGAAGAAGGACATTGACATTACCCGACACTTCTGGACTACGACCAACACCACCAACCAACAGCAGTGTCGTCGAGTCTTGTCCATTATAGCTTTTCATCCGTTCCAACATTTCCCCTCAACCAGCAATCCGACAATCTCGTGTGATCCGTCATTCGGATTGTTGCTTCCCGGATCCATCCAACTGCCGCATAAAGCAGCAGCAGCAACAAGACGACCAACAACAAAAACAACAACAAAAACAACAGCAGACATCAACACACTTTGCCTTGCGCAAACCAGGAGGGAACATAATTGAGGATTTGCTAGGTCTAGCTGCAAGATTCTAGCCTGCCAGCGACACATAGCTTCAGGATCATTTCTTCGTTCTTTGTTGAGACAGCCCTCCTCTTGGGCAGTCAACTTGTCGCCATCACATTGCTAGCTCTACTTTTCTCGCACGCGTAAAATATCTTTCTCTGTCTGTCTAATGCCCGCATGAGGATCCGCTCTCCACGCATGTCTTGAGCCATCTGCAGTAGACCGACCGCGCGCGCGTCAGACAAAAAGTGGAAGCTCTCCAATCGTACCTATCCGAACAAGGCTGGAGAGTTCGCTGTCCATTGAAAGCCGTACCTACAGTACATCCATACCTACCCCAAAGTACCCGAACTTGACCATTGTTGTCGAGAATCGCCATTATGTCTGGTAAGCAACGCAGTCATACATACAATGTCATGTTTTTCGTCTCGCAATAGCATTATCCAAGCAAGCGCCAGTGCCAGGCAGCTCCCGTCACCCCCCATGCCACATTTTCCCATACCGAGACGTCAAGCCCCCCTCGAAGCTAGAGCTAACCACACGATACGCGATGCTAGAACCCGAACCGCGCCGATCGGTTAGAGCCACAAAGGGCCAGCACAAGGCCCTGGAACAACTCGACCAAATTGACATTCCCAAGAAGCGCGGGAAGAAGCAGGCCAAGAAAGCAGTCCCCGAGCCAGAAGAGCCCGAGGAAGAGATCATCCGATGCGTCTGCGGCGCCACCGAACAAGATGAGGATTCCGGCGAACCCTGGATTGCCTGCGACATGTGCGGCGCCTGGCAGCACAACATCTGCATGGGCATGAGCCAGTATAGCGAAGATTTACCTAAGGAGTACTTCTGCGAGCTGTGCAAGCCCGAGAACCACCAGGAACTGCTCAATGGCATCAAGAACGGCGAGAGGCCGTGGGAGGCCAGGCGGAAAGCCTTCGAGGAGGAAAAGGCCGAGAAACGGAGAAGAGGCAACAAGAAGAAATCCAAGAGGGTTAGCGACCACAAGGAGGAAAGCGCCCAGGCCTCACAGAAACCAAAGCCATCTCCCGCGCCAGAACCTAAGAAGGATGCCAAGAGCGCAGCTGGACAGAAGCGCAAGACGACAGAACCTGCGCCAGAGAAGGAACCCAAGCAAAAGGTCCGAAAGGTCACAGAGACCCCAGCTCCACCTCTCCCATCATACAAGGCCCCAGATGACATCGCCGGCAAGATCAGTGAGTTACCAGAGCTTCGGCAAGGGGCTGCCAAGCTCCTTTCTAAATCTCTTGCGCACTCTATTGGAGTTGCCGAGAAGAAGGGGGTGTCGGTTCCTTCCGAAGGCGTCTCAGCTACCGCAGAGAAGTTGGCTATTCAGATCGAGCGTGCTGTTCACGATTCCCACCAATCAACTGCCTATAGCGGTCAGATGCGGACATTGAGCTATAACATCAAGATCAACCAAGACCTTACTACCGGTCTGCTTAACCGCACCCTTACCCCTACGATGCTGGCTTCCATGACAACAGAGGAGCTGGCAACCAAGGAGCTGCAGAAAGAAACCGCCGAGATGAAGGCTAGGGCCGAGAAACAGTCCATCATGATCACCGAAGATGTTCCTAGGATACGGAAAACGCACAAGGGCGAGGAAATCATTGGGGACGAGAGCTTCAACCTTTCGACTGATGTTTCCTCCGCCCCCGTACGTAGGCCGCCCCAGGAGACAACTGAGCCCCCGAAGAAACGCGTTAAGGAAGAGGGACCGGAGAGGGCTGCTCAGGGGACGGCTTCGAAGCGATCTTCGAGGGATCTGACCGTGGACACCCAAAAGTCGCCCAGCACAGGGAACTTTGATATCAACAAGGTCTTCTCAAGTGTCAAGTCGCCTACTCAATCACACAACAGACGCCCATCTGCCATGTCTACTTCAACAGGTCCGGGTGTTGACGCAGATGTCGACCGCCTTCTGGATGACGGCACACAATCCCCGCCTTACTCACCGAAGGAGGAAATTCTTGACCCTGATGTGGTGTGGAAGGGAAATCTGGTGATGAATACCATTGCAGACTTCCAAGTCACTGCCAAGCATATCGGCGGTGCCAGGCTCAAGGAGTCGATCGGCTTGGAATGGGACAAGCTGATACCCAAGACACTTACTGTCTGCGGACGGATTGACGAACAGCAAGCTATTGTCTACCTCTGTGGCTTGAGGTACAGTCTTCCCACTGATGTGGTAGTGGTGAGCCTGCAGCCTACGTCGGCGGCCTCCAAGCCCCAGTTTCAACGCCTGGTTGATTATTTTGTGCACAAGAAGCGATACGGTGTCATAGGAGACAGAGGGGTAGCGAATGTCCGCGACACCTACCTCGTTCCCGTGTTGCCCGGCACAGGTCAATACCCAGAGTTTATGCTGAACCTGGCGGAGAACAATATTCCCGAGACCAGGACAGAGCCGATGCTGCTCGGCGTATTTGTCTATCGTAACGATCCCGATACTATTATGCGGCTACATGGGACTAATGAATATAACCAAGTAGTGGCGAACCAGTCCACCAAGGTTCACACGAGCTTTGCCCAGACACCGGCACCATCATCGCCAGCGCTGGCGAACCTCCCTCTGGGCCACCGCCCTTCTCTCTCGACGCCTGCGTTCTCGCCGACATCTCCTCAGGGCACGTTCCCTAACTACCCTACTCCTAGGCACAGTAGCACCCCTTCACAAGTGCCACCACAGCAACAGCAGCAACCGCAGCCAACGCCGCCGGCTCATCATCCGGTGAGCCACATGCAGCATCCCGCTGTCGACCAGGTGCAGAAACAGGGAGAAGCCATTGCTAGAGAAGTTCTGGGTCATCTGATCACTAGTCCGACGGTTGCGTTCCTGTTGCCTCAGGCTCACAAAATGTCACGTAAGGAATGGGAAGTGATCAAGAAGATCTACGAACGAGATCCCAAGGCTCGTGACGACCTCCCTTACCTCAGCAACGTTTTGGAGAGAGAGAGTACCAATGCGCAAGCCAAGGCTGCTCAAGCTCAGCAACAGTCCCAGCAGCATCCGATGCATCAACAGCAACAGCATCAACAGCAGATGCATCATCAGCCTCACCATCAACAACATCATCCGCAACACCAGGGTCAGCATCAGCAGCAGCAGCATTTGCCGCAGCACCCGCCCCAACATCAACCACAACACCAGACTCACCATCAGCCTCAGCCTCAGCATCAACAGCAACATCAGGCTCATCACCCACCGCAACATCAGCAGCCTCAGCATCAGCCACAGCAACAGGCTCATCATCAACCTCATCCTCCTCCACCGCAGCATCGGCCTCAGCATATGCAGCATCAGCAGCATCATCAACAGCAGCAGCACCAGCAGCAACACCCACCACAACATCAACCCCAGCATGCTTCCCAACACGCTCCCCAGCACCAACAACAACATCAAGTGCAACATCCACCCCAGCATCAGGCTGCTGCTCAACCACACCCGCAAGCGGCCCAGCCGACCCCACCGGCCTCTCATCATACTCAACCGCCTCAACATCAGCATCAACAACAGCAACCGCAGCACGCGCAGCCTCACCCCCCGGCGCAGCATCAAGTTCATCCACAACATCACCAACAGCACTTCACCCCGCCATTGCGAAACACTCCTATTCCCCCCCCGTCCATCCCACCGGCAGCTGCTGGCGCTGGTGGTCCCGTTAAGCAAACGCCTATCCCGCCTCCGCCCATTCCTCCCCAGGCTACCACGGCAGCGGCAGCAACCGGTCCTCCTCCCGCCTAGAGGGGCGACGGACAGCGGACAAACCACCCGGACTCAGCAGCAGCGGTCAGGAATAGTAGTGGCAACAGCAATAGCAATAGCAATAGTACGAGGCCTGCAGCACCGACAAAGCAAAGTGACAAGAAACAACAGCCAAGCACACCGCGAAGGGAGGAGAGGGGGTCGTTATCAAGACCAGGGTCAGAGGCGCGATCGAAAGTTATGGCATCAGCATCAGCTACAAAGATACCAGCATCGGCTCCAACAAAGCTGGCGCTCCCGCCGCTTGATACCGACCTCGACCGTCGTCCTCATCTCCCCCCTCCTCATTATTCTCGCACAACGACGACAACAACAAACCTTCGCCGCGAAGTCTGTTGGTTGCCACTAGTCCGGTAGTTGATCATCGACAACAACAACACAGAAGAAGAAGAAGAAGAAGTGATAGTACTGCAGCAAGTAGTACAGCCGGCAGCATTACTGGTGGTGGTGGTGTTGGTGGAAGCAGACATCAGTCTCCCTCAGCCAACTCGGTTGCATCCTTTACATCATCTGTTCAATCAGCATCCGTTGTGGGGTCCGTTCAGGCGGCAGCTGGTCAAGCAGTAACTCCGTCGTCGGCCAGACCGACGCCTAGAAGAAGATTATTGTGTCTGCAGTCGACGGCGGCGGAGAAGCAGAAGAAGAAGAACAGCAATAACAACAATAACAAGTCACGAGACGTGACGGAAGGGTGGGATGTTGATGAGTTTGATTAGAACCCCTGGCCTGGAATGCGGGAATGAGTGCAGGATGCCCGGAGGAGGTGTTAGTGGAGGTGAAGTGGGTTGTTTTGTTGAGAGGTGAGAGGTGGAAGTGGAGGTAGGGGTGGAAGTTCGTCTTAGATGTCTGTTGAAGGGTAGGAGGATAGGGTATTGGAGAGTTATTAGAAGCGGGATGGCGGGCTAGCGAAATGTGAAGCGGAAAAGGAAATGGAAATGGAAGGAAGAGGAAAGATGGATGGGGGAATGGAGGAAAAGGAGGCAGCGAAAAGGAAAATTCAGGTTTAATTTCTTGAGGAGAGAAGGAAATTGAGGGGTGACTCATTTTGTGGCTTTTTGTCTTTTTTGGAAGGCGTATTTAGGTTATTAAGGTTAAGTTTAGGTTATGCTACTAGGGACTAGGGGAGGAGTTAATCAGGCATCCATCCATCGTATGCCCCTTTGGTCCTATGGTTTAAGATGACTTAGGTTTCTTGCTTGGTTGAAAATTGTGCTTAGATTGTTTTGTTCTTGTAGCTCTAGCTAGCTCCAAGTCTTAGACTAGGTTAAGTGTCTTGCAAGCGTGCCCTGTCTGTCTGTCGGCTTATGTGCATAAGATTCTTGTCACTCCCCTCCCTGGGCTCCTCTCCTGTCTTGCGCCTGTGCTGAGTCGTTGATTCGGAGATGGATGAACGGCAGTCAAGGTCAGATTCTTTCACTCTGGTCCTTCAGTTTACTCATGCTACCTAGGTAATTGAGTGAGTGCGAGTTGTTCATGTAATATTGTAGCTACAGCACAACCTGTGGCTGAAGTGAAGTGTGAGCTACCTACGAAAGGAATAGAGGCACCGCTCCAGCGATCTTGTTTGTGCCGGTTTTATGGCAAATAAGTTCACGCTTACATGATGTGGTCGTGAATTCGACGTGAATGAGATGCCTCTCCATAATCGATCTCCCTCTTCTGGATGCTGCCTCGCTGAAGTGTCTACTCATGTTTTCCAACACTCAATGGATCGGTCATGAAACACGGACAATGTCCCAGATTTTACATTAGGTTCACTTCACTTCATCAAGTAGATATAGGTAGCTCCTTTTTTATGACTTTTCTCAGTGGCATTTGCAAGTAGCAAATGGTCTTATCTCGGGGGGTATATGCACAACAGCAACAGTAACAGTAACAAAACCAAAAAAACACGCCATGCTTGCTTTTTCCTGAACCCAAGCCAAGCCAAGCCATACATCCATGCCCATCATCCACTTCTTCCACATCCTCATCCGGCCTCAAGATCACGCAAACTCGGCATCCAAAACCCCCCACCCCATCCCCTCCCGCTCCCAATACCTCCCCTCCTCATCCACCCCTCCATCCCCATCAACACCCACCCTCCGATCCCCCACCACCGTCCCCCTTCTCCCGGGGGCATACGCATATCCTCCCCCATCTCCCCCATCTCCCTCTTCTCCCATAGTAACCATTCCCGCCCCTCCCGCCCCTCCAACGGTCTCCATCGCACCCACAGGAATATCCACACTCCCCAACCCCTCCAACACCCGTCTCGCCTTCTCCGCCACCGCGCGATTAGCAGCCGTCTCCGCCCTCGTCTGGTCCAATCGCTCCTGCATCAGCTGAATCAGTTGCTCCCTAGCCTGGTGAGGGCGGTACTCGTTGAGGACATGGTGGAAGTTTAGGAATAGGGTCCGTAAGTCTGAGGCCTTTTGTGAGCCGGCCGAGGGGTCGATGGACATTATTCCTAGGAGCTCGAGGTAGTTGAGGAGAAGGGATTTGGAGAGACGTTTGAGGTGCAGGTGGAGGTGGTCGTGGGTGTGGGTTGTTGGCACCGGGGCGGCGGTGGATTGTTGGTGTTGGTGTTGTTGTTGGCCGCCTGCGGCGGTTGTGGTTGTGGTGGAGGAGGAGGGTTGTTGGGAGGGTTGTTGGGAGGGGAAAACGGAGGTGGCTTGCGTGTCGGGTGCTGGTTGCGTGGTGGATTGGGAGTCGCTAGCCGTGGTGGTCTGGGTGATGGTTTGGGAGTCGGATTGTGTGGTGACTGAAGTTGAGCTGCCCGGGAGTGGAGGACCTAAACGTTCGATGCCGGCTGATTCGAGGGGTTGGAGGGATTCTTCTAGCTTTTCGGGGGTTAATGATCGGTTGGGGGAGGGAAGGGGTTGGAGATGAGTGGGTGGGAGGGGGTAAAACGTACAGATTGATCTTCGCCGTATAATCGCCATTTTCCTTCTTTGGGCTCGGCTGGTGGTTGGAGGTATATGAGGTCTGAATCGGCAGGGAGATCTGGGACGCGCACAACGTCTTCGACGGCAATGCCCTGTTGAGAAGCATGTTGCTGTTTGAGATCGGCGAAGGCTTGGAGGTTTGACGCGGTGAATGCCTTCCAGAAGAGAGGAGGATCGGGGAAGAAGGAGGCGAGGGCCGAGTTATCCTCTTCGTTGTCGGCCATGATCGTTTATTAGTTAGAGTCGCAATCCAGAGAGGGAGTGCTGTTCGGCGCGAGATCGCAAAGGTGATGCGCAGTGCTCTTCGGTAAGCTGCTCGGTATTTATGAGGTTGATATGATATCCTGCCCTGTTCAAGGATGTACAGAGGACCAGTTTCTGTATGCGACAATGTGAAGTACGGTTGCGATGTGAAAGCAGATGTTCAGTTTGAATTGAAGCGTGTTTGGAACAATCAATTGATTGCAAGTGACGTTGCCGGGAAGCGAATGGTCGCAGGCACCAGACGCGGCAAAGTCGCGGCAATCGATAAGAGCTCTCCTCTTGGCGTTACTCCACCCATGAGCTCCCCCGGCCGCATTTTAAGGTTTGGGGTACGTACCCAAGGCTTAAATGCTTAGGGTAGCTCCACAAGAGACCTTGACGTTGCAGCCTCAACACATCGACTCGCGATTCGCTCATCAGGTTCACCACATATGTGAAACTCGGTCTGACATTGAACTCACATTCCTCCGTCTCATCCAAACATTAAGCATTTGAGGCTTTACCAGCGACATAATACCACCGGCCTTGACCGCTATTCGGGGCATTTACAGCTTGGAGCTAGCGAACACCACCCGACCTCTCACCACTACTCTCACCCTCACCATCATCTTGCATCACCTCGAGCTACACTCAGATCTCCACCTTAATCTCACCCAGGATTTCATAAACAATGGCCGACGTACGCGCCCTCTTACGCCAACAGCGCGCCGCGCGCAGAATCGAGCACCCACACGCTGCCTACACCGACGCCGGCAAGCTCGTCTGCATCCTCTGCCGGGAACACGTCAAGACCGAAGCCCTCTGGGACGGTCACATCCGCAACACCGGCCACCGTCAACGTCTACAAGCACTCCAACAGCAGCAACAATCACAAAGTGAAACCCAGGGAGAAGAATCAAACGAACACAAGCGCAAGCTCGACGCCCAAGAAGATGACGAAGCCACCTCCCCCATCTCTACCGATGAAACCGACCGCGCATCCAAGCGCACCCGCCCCAACACCCTATCCCCAGAACCAAGACCGGCACCTCCAATCTCCAACCCAGAAGCGCCTGCCCTTACCCAGCAAAAATCGTTCACCCCAACAGCCGGTATCGAACTCGCCATCCCTTCACGGCCAGCAACACCAGCAGATGCCACCACGACGCCTAAATCAGCTGGCGGACCTCTGCGCCCCTTCTCACAACTATCTGAGCAGCAACACTCGCACCCACCAACTTCCCAGCCAACCTCCACTTCCACGCCCGCCCCGGCCCCAGTCTCAACATCAGCAGACGCCCCACAAGCACCACAAGAAGCACAGGTAGACGACGACCTCTGGGCCTCCTTCGAAGCGGACCTTCTCGCTCCCCCCAGCAATTCAGCCCCCTCCAACCCCTTCGCCGCTGCAGGCGACGCCGTTATTGCAGCCGCACCCGTCTCAGCAGCAGAAGCAGCAGCAGCAGCCAAATCCTACGACGAAGAGCAATCCCTCCGCCAATCAGCCAAGGACCATGAGCTTGAAGACGAGCGCGAAGAGGCGACGAGGGCGTTGGAGACCGAGTTTGAGATTATGGAGGAGTTGGAGGCTAGGGCGAGGAGGTTGAGGGAGAGGAGGGAGGCTTTGAGGGCTGGGTTGAAGGTGGGTGGTTCTACTCAATCTGGGACAGGACAAGAAGATGAAGGGATAAGGGTGGAAGCTGAGACGACGGCAAAGCCCGTGGGAGATGAAAGCGTTGCTGATGGTGCTGAGAGTGCGGCAAAGACGAGTGCGGCTGCTGCTGTTTTGGCGGCGTTGGGGAAGGAGAATTCTGTTCGGACGACAAAGGGGAAGGTAGTGGACGAGGAGGAGGACGGCGACGAAGATGACGAGGACGATGAGGAGGACGATTGGGATGGATTCCGATTCCGCGCTTAGGACTGACTCTTTTAGTTGCCGGCAGCGGTGGGAATGAGGGAACGACTCGAGTGCGCCATGTCAGGTACTTAATGGAAAGGAAAGGCAAAGCAAATTTGGGCCTCCCGAGCGAGACCCGCGTCGATCACGAAATGAATTACTTCGATTGAGAAGAATGGCGACTGTCAACCAATGTCGAGGTGCCAGGTCGGACTGGAGCAGTGCAAAGATTCAAAAACAAGTGCAAAAGGTTGGATAAAAAAAAATGCGGCCCGTATCGAACTCGATTCAAAGAGCGGGAGTGGTTTAGATCCCAGACGGCCAATTTTCGAAGACAGGACTCGGATGATCATGATTTCATCTTAGAAGGCCCAACCCGAACCATCAACAAGTGTGTTTGCCTCCCGTCTGTTCACGCAATCTTAAAGAAGCTGTCATCCAGCTTCTTCCACGATCTGGCAAACACTTGTTTCTTCTCCACGCTTTTCATTTTCGAGTCACATGACGAAGCCTGGCGTAATGGAGGACAGAGATGTTATGTTGTTGGTAGGCAGCAAACTGATTCGAGTCCTTTGGGATGGCAGTAAAGACCTGGTTGCTCGATATCCATGACCCATATGTTTCCCATATGGGTGTCTCATTGTCATCTCGTCCACGAGGAAGGAGAAGATGTCTCACCGAACGTGGAGAGAGCCCGCCATTAAGATTGTCCAAGCTGCAAACGCACCTTCTTCACTTGTTCAGGCACTCAAAGACTCCAACGCTCGATCCCCGTCCCCGGGCTGTTGAATCAATCAATGGTCAATAGAGGAAGGGGTATAAGAACCCCTAGACCCTCCCCCTTCCTCGCAAAGCCCGGAATCTTTTTGCATCAACACATCATCAACCTCACATCAACACATCATCAACATCACATCACAGCTACTTCCATACTTGAACAATTTACACCAATCCAAATCCAAAACCAAATCCAAAACCAACCCAAAACCACATAATATTACACCTCTCAACCACTCACTCACTACTCCTCATTTCCAAACCCAAAAAAAAAAAAAAAAAAAAAAAACCCCATCAAAATGTCCAGCCGCCAAATTAAGACTCCCACCCGCACCGTTACCTCCCACCAAACCGAGGAGGTCACCGTCTCTCCCGGCGGCAATACGGCTACTCTCACCGTTACTACTACTGTCGTCGAGACCAAGACTACCGTTACTGAGTATAATCGGGCTGCTCCTGCTGCTCCTGCTGGTGACGCTGGTGTAGCTGGTGTGGATGAGAAGAAGGCTGCTGTCGCCACGGACGCTGGTGTGGATGAGAAGAAGGATGAGGCCAAGGAGGGTACTAGCGAGGAGAAGAAGTAAAGCACGACGTCTGTGGAGGTCTGTGGAGGGGTTTCAAGCTCAGTAGGAGGTTTATTTTGGGACGCAATCACAGCATACTGTTCACTGAGCTAAGATATGCATTGGGGGGGGGGGGGGGGGGGGGATGAGGAATTGGAGTTATTGGGGAATCGGCATGGCGTGGTTGGTTGAGAGAGGAGAGAGTTCATCGCAATCAGGGCAGGGATCAGCAAAATATAAGTACCTGAGGGGATGTCAGTCAAGTGGTTAGTGGGTTACCTACCTACACGAAACTGAAGTGTGGGCTTGAGGCGTCGAAGATACGTGGAATAAAAATGGAAATAACGAAAACATTGCTGCTTGCTGTCCAAGTCGGAGGCCTTTCGAACTGATAACACCCGCTTTCTGCAATAGCTGCTCATAACAGACTCTCATACATTGATATGACCAGCATATGGTAAACGCAACTAACCGACTAACGGTAGATCAAAAGTCAAAGACAGAGAACGCCAAAAAGAGCCTAATTGACAAGAAGACGTACCCCATTCACATCGTCACTCGTTCGTACTCGTTCAACGCCTCCCTCTTCCCACACTCACTCACACCTTCGCAAATCACCCTTACCCACGTTCGCTGCTGATACCGAACCATCGAAAGCCATCCATCCATACCTCCCTCCCGGGCTCTACACCCTCCCCTTCCCACCACCAGCACTAACCCCCTCCCAAAACTTCCTCAACCTCCAAACCCTCCCGACCCCCCTCTCCTCCTCTTCCTTCCTCACCTTCCCTTCCCTCTCCTTAACTCTCCCCATCCAGACCTCCCCAATCCACCCCCTCAGCCCATCCTTCACCCTCTCTCTCTCCACCGCTCTCTTCTTCGCCACCAACGCCGGCGCTACCACGACCACTTTCTTTCTGGTCCCAGAAGTCCCAGTCCGAGAAGAATGAGGAACGCACTCAGCAGGCAAAACACAGCGCTCAACCAGCTGCTCGGCTGAGGGACGGGCGGCGAGGCGGCGGGCGAGGTGGATGGAGGCTAACTTGCGAGCGAGCTTGCGGGAGATGAGGGCGGTGTTGGTGAGGAAGATGGAGCGCCGGATGAGGTCGGTGAGGGAAGGGCGGGAGGGGGAGGTGAGGGAGAGGGGGAGGAGGAGGCGGGCGCGGCGGAGGCGGAGGGTGTGGAGGGTTGGAGAGGTGGAGAGGGTGCGGAGGTGGTGGGAGGTCTGGTCGTTGTTTTGAAGGTTAGTATGGTTCTGAATTTGTGGTTTTGAAGGAAAAGAAGAAGAACAACGGGTCGAAGTGGGTTGGGAGTTGGGACGTGAGTTTGATGCTTTTCCTCTGGATGGAGATGTTGTGTGAAGCGTAGCAATCAACGTCAAGATGGCTCCAGAACGGGGAATTCAATATGGATTTGATGTGATTTTGATTGACAGATGTGAATGCTGGGTAGTACAGCAGTGAACAAACTAGGCGGCGCAAGAACGATTCACAGACAGGAAATAGATGATAAAAAGGAAGAGTTTAGGTCACCAAGTAGAGGATACGAGGCCAGAACAGACGTGAAGATAACATCTAAGAAATGTGAACTCACTTTGGAAGCTGAAAACAAATCGCAGACGTCTAGATGGCTCAGAATCTCGTACAAAACTTCGTTTGGTAAGTCGGTCAGCTGCACATGGTGTCCAGTCTCTTGAACACCTGTGTTGAATTCTCCCCGGTTCTCATTGGATCTCACAAGTGTATGCGTGCCGGGACTGAGACCAGTAAAGGTATTGTTCAACCCTCCTGTGTCCATGTCATCCCAACCCCTTGAGGATGCCCCGAACTGCTCTATTGCGGGCACTGGAGTGTTTCCAGAAGCCAAGAGCGCCATTTGGCTTATCTCGCTGGCGAGGTGCATGCTGGGATTTTCCTCTAGTTGCTCTTCATCTCCCCCTCGTTCTTCAACAGTGGGCCATGACCAGATCTGCCGATGGCCGGCTCCTGGCTGGAGTGGCAATGGCGCCATGAGCAAGGACTTTCTCGCTCAATCCGGCGACGTGCGTCTGATATTCTCGTGATCAACGAGTCTGACGGACCGAACAAGTGTGCTAGCCCGGTCTGGCCTCGAAAATCCTTTTTCCAAGTTTGCCTCGTGTCCACCCTGATTTACACTCCAGCCCTCACGCAGTCGAGAAGTCTGGTAGCGGGGCTGGAGCGAAGGAGCGAGACTGTGTCGGAAGCAAAGCTTTCAAGGAGCTCAGAGCTGAACCGCGTCAGTGTCGGACCAAGAGCGTGTCCTGCTCGGATACGTCTCCTCCCTCGTTCGTTGACTTTGCCGCGACTACCAATCGCGGGACACTGGGTAGTTTCCCGACAGAAAAGCGGAGAGCGTTGACGTCTGGTATGAATCCGTGAGTCCGCGGTGCGGCTAAACAAAAAGGAGTTAGAAGATGATACAGTCAGGTTGATGTGGTCTGCAATGCTGGCCTCCAGGTGGAATCCTGACCGGGCTGGTGGCTGGGGATCGGGAACCAAGATGAAGACAGTGAGGCTTCTTTCCCTGATGGAGTACAGTAGTTCTCAGAATCACCGTGGTATTACTGCAGGGCTTCTTCTTAGGGCTGTCATGTGAGCAGGATTCAGGTCTCGATCGATGTGTTATCCTCGGTCAAGCCGGCGGTCGCAATGACGAGATTGTTACATGACAGGAGGACCAAAGCGTACTAGGTGAGCGGGACGGAGAGATAAATTGGACCGGGAGGCCGAAAACGGCACCGTACTTTGTTGGAATGTGGTCGAGGTATTATTCGGACTATTGCAAGCCTCAAGTCCAGACTCACACACACACAGACTTATCTCGGGTGGATATGATGGTGTGTGATTATGCCCAGCCAGAGTGGTCGCGTACAGGACCGTAATCGAGGTAATCTTTGGCACAGTGAGTTTGAAATGACGAGGGTTGCTGAAGTCACGATATCATGACCAGAATCATGAGTTTGACTGTGGAGTGTGAGAGTGATCAAGGTGAGCGAGGTGAGTTGAAGTGATGGCCGCGCGCAAACGTCACCAAGTCTCTCGGATGAAATCCAGGCCGAGACCGGAAATGGGGCGGGCCTGCGAATAGGCCGTTGTTTAAGACCAGACAAGAGTTAGAGAGGGAACTTGAACGAAGCGAATGCTCACTCAGGCAAGGTGGTGAGGTTTGACAAAATGAATTGGCGGGAGTGGTGGAAGTGACCGATGAAGGTTGACGGTCGATGGAAGGAGTGAAGTCAAGGGAGAAGAGCAACAACTTGGCAAGGTGTGGGAGCATGACATGCGTTGAACCTGTGGAAAGTGATTGGCTCACGGTGAGTAGAAGGTCACAAGAAGTGGGCACGGGGTAGGAAGCAGGGAGGACACAGACCATTCGAGAGTCCGTGCACACAAGTTTCACCAATGGCCGCTCTCCAGGCCGCGCTGTCAATGGATCGTATCGGTACCCGCGACGGAGCGGGAACCTTGCATCCTGGAGCTTCCTTCCCCATTTCCCTCTCACCGTCTCTCGCCGTTTCCTCTTCCGCGCGGCAATTCAACACTCAATCGAGGCCATGGCCTTCCGCTCCTTCCACTTCAGTCTTTACTTTGATGAACTTGAAGTGAAAAATCCTCTCTCCCGCGTCCCACTCGAGAGGGGACTCGGAGGAAGCCGCCTCTGCCTGGCCCAGATCACTGCACCTGTGCCCTGAAGTGGCCTCAAACACTTGACCAGAACATCGCCCAAATCCACGTCCTCTCCTCATCTTGATCACCACCACCACCACCACCACCGTACATGGGCCACTTCGTCAACAGCAATTCTGTTGAGCATATCCCGCGCCGCCCAATGCATCACCAACTCATCAATACCACCGCCCTTTCCCTTTTCCATTCCCATCATCTGCATACCATGTCTTGCCGAGTCACAACCTGCTCGATTTAGCAACCGATGAGCGATGCTACCGGCGATGCTATGCTCGTTCTGGATAATGACGCGGGCTTCGTCAAATCCATGACAAAAACATCTCCTGTGCTCCAGTCTCGCTGGCACGTCTTGGACTGTTAAGCGCGCTGCGAATCACAATCACCAATTCCAGGACCCCCGACCCCTGTCCAGGACCCCCGACCCCTGGACAGTCAACGGCTATCTCGGATGTGACGTTGAACATGGGGCATTGCCGCATCTGAACAAGAAATCCCTGCCGCCCATTGGCTCCTGTCCCTGTGTAAGTCGACAAGGCGTCCAATGTCCTCCCTTTTCTGCGCACCCACGGCACCCTTTCTTGACCCTCTCCGTCTTTGTCTAGTGGCCTTCTGACGGTTTGGCCGGGAGAAAAGGCCAGGGTGAGGAGCTCCCCAGCTCTTTTCCAGCCTGATCCGAGGCCACTCAGTTTCAAACCGTTTCGGTGGTGCGAAAACACTGGTTCATCCCGTCCAGCACAGGGATCTCTGTGGCTTACAGTAGGCCTGCGGGCCGCTAAAGGCAGGCAAGGGTTAAGCCTCAGGGGGGAATCTGGGGGCCAAGTCAACAGAGGGCAGGGGAAAGCAGCAGGGGGGGGCCAGAGCACGACCTCACCTCACCTGTCTTCGCTGTCAAGAAGGGTTGGGGTGTCAAAGTCAGCCAGTGGGCTTCCTTGTCGCTCACCGCGGGCCAAGTACATCCATCAAGCAACGGTGGACTGTGTCGGGTTTCCATATGGGAACTGACGGCTAACAACAACCATGAACAATTAGGTCCCCGGCCCGGCCAAAGAATCAGGCGGAACAAACCAGATGGAACCTCGGATCTCCAAGAAACTCCGGATTCTAGCGAAGCTGTTCACCGGTCTCGCTTTTGCTAGACACTCGCCAAACGATTGGAACAAGACGCTCTACGAGCTGGGCTTGAGCCTTGTGCAGGAAACAACGGACCATATTTGCCACCATTTCAAGCAGGCTACCCAAGGCTATCAGCTAAGAAAAGGCTGGGCGAGCTGGACAAGCCGTTCATACTTCTGTCACTTCTCAGTGTCTGCCTCTGGGTAGTCCCGAAAAGTGATCCAGCACCCGTCTGCTACCTCATGGGCCCGCCAGTCATCCGTTCTGCAGCCCGGTCGCGTACTTGAGCAAGTTCTTCAGTCACTGGACGCGTTCATGACGTGTCGTGGGGCTGGCCTCCTGTGATGCGGCCATGGAATTTCTCATCACTATCACGGCTCACAATTGCTCCTTTTGGACACTCAAAGACTCGAAAATCACGAGCCTCCACCGACGAGAGGAGAGAGACACTCGCCCCTCGGACAAGTACACCACGCCCACTACACAGTAGCCAAACCCGTATACGAGTGGCGAATTGGCCTGAATAGTTTCTTCTCTTGCACATCTGCAATCACTAGACTCGCGTGCTCTAACTCTCAGTGGTGGAGGAGCCACACATCCCTCCCGATCCCCTGAAAAAGTCGGCTACCCTTCCCTCTCAGCCCTTTGTACACAAGGATGAGAATGTCTTTCCTCCGCGCATACCCCAGCTAGTCTGATGAAAGAAGATTGCACCCCTCCACGGTCTGGACCTGCCAGTCTGCCAGCACATCGTCCAATTCCCTGCGATCCGAGCTCTGGCATGAATATCTATGGAAGATGGCTTTGGAACCAACAGGACGACCCCGTTCTCCTGCGTATCTATTGATGCGGTCAAAGCATACCTACGAGCGAACGTCTGCAGGAACGGGGAGTGCGGGAAGCGCTGGGAGTGAGGTGAGAAGACGGTCTTCAAACATCGACTGCGACGCGGCACCTGAGACTCGGCTCGTTTAGACGAGTCTTTCACTGCGTACACCAAGGTCCAAGCAATGACGCTACGGCCACCTGATTATCAGAGACGGGCCCGATCTATGACCGTTTTCAGCCGACTCAGGACGTATTGTGATGGGCGCCCAGGCTGGAGAAGAGTCAGGGCAGCTTCCAGAGCAAAGGCTGGTCGTCAATTCGGCGACCCTCCCTCTCCACTCCCGTCTTACCCCCAAGGTAAGGCCGACCAATGAGACGACTTAGTTGGCTCCGTTGAGGCTGTTCCCAGACACCTCCCTCCGTTACCCGTCGCTCCCGAAAAGTGATCCGTCAAATCCCTGTTCTCAACTGTGACTCGATCGCTTCAGGCCGCTTCATGCCGAGCTAACCTCGTTGCTGCGTAGTGTAGCTTGTACCTTGCACAAGCTAATCCGTACATCCTTTAGTGTCCTCCCCATCTTGGCATCTTGCGACGTCCGGCTCCATCGCATCAACGCTACAAGGGACGGCACGAGCAGCTGTCACCACCGTTTGGACCATTTCAACCGTTGCCCTTTACGTTTTCCCACTGACCTACTCCGTGTGCTTTCTAGAAGAGAAGGCTGCCAGCCTTCTGTACGTTTTCCGTTGGCGTAACGCCAATCAACCCCTGCCGGAAGAGTACATCTATCTCTATCAGCTTGCGCAACCGCTGTTCATGTCCGTATATGATTCCAACCAGCTACGCTTCCTACAGGTCATTCTATCCAGGGAAATATACCGGATCTGGCACAAAATTTCGGTTTCTTCAAGTTTGATGGCCGTCAGATACTTCGCCTGCTGGAACATAACCTGTCTCGTATACAGATGCAAGTTATGAGGGAACGGGCCGCTCCTGATCTTCTCGGTCATAAAAGCCGACCGTGAATCAGAAACAGGGGATTCAAAAGAGGTCTTTTCGCCAGAAGACATGATACTCCGCGCAAAATCCGTTAAAAGTACAGGGAAGATCAACACCCGGCCACCTCTGAGTGGCCTTGTTACCTCACAACTCCACTCTCTCCCTTGGCCCGTTGACCCGACCTGATAACACGGAAACCCGATCACAGCGTTGCTTCATATCCGGTCACTCCCGTCTCGTTTTTGGGTCGTCCCAGTTCACCAGAAGGTGCAAGTGGCTACCACACTTTTCAATCAGCAATAAACTCGATTTTAAGATGATTATGGTACACTGCGTATCCCGGGAGAGCAGATCATCGAGACTGCCTATTGTGATGGAACTTCCAAGGCCAGAAAACTTCAAGGTCTCGCTCAGGCGGAACACATTCGGCCCTGGTGTGTGTCGCGCAGTCGTCAAAGGCCAGCGTTGAAGCCGCATGGTATGTTCCTGGTCCCCATCTAGGCCACCTACATCCCAAGCTTGACACGAAACAGGATAGTCGAGTACGGCAAACCCGGAACGAGGTCCGGATATTGCGCTTTGTATGCCGTGACTGGGGCAACCTCGCGAGCCCGCAGCAGTTCATAGTCATCCCGCCTGTATCACCCCACAGGAAGCATGATGAAGTGTAAGTCACAGCCCCCATCAGGACGGGGCTGATCACTCAGTCTTCATGGGCAAGGTCTCACTCCCCTATCGTTTCCTACCATAACAGAAGCAGGTAGGCCCTCCCATCCAAGATGACTGCACGTTGTCGACCCTGAGCCTCGTCGTTTCTGCCTCCTTTTTTCTTCCTTTCTTTTGTTTTTCTGCTTTTGTCATTTTTTTGGGTTATTTCTTGAGTCTTCACGCACTCGAGTTTTCTTTGCCTTGCTGATCTTACATTCATCAATTCGTCTTTTCGTCATGGTTTTCGGTCACATAATTATCGGGTTGACTGCTCCGGGACCCAAGCGGCTGCCCCGTGAAGCAGGCCTCTGCCGGCTTTGTGCTCTGACGACGCTCATCACAGTGCCTGCAGTGCTAAGAGATCTGAACCTGGCCAGACATCGTTGCCATCGTTGCCATCGTGTAAGGCATCATATTGAACTCAAACACACCGGTGCAATATAGCTCGACAAAGGAGGGGCCAAACCCCTGAAGTGGGCTTCAAGCAATCACTAGTCAACGCTTGCCACGTCGCCATCTTTCTTTGCAGTCACTCATCGATGGTATGGGCTGATATGACAGAATCTAGAAGGTGTGCCACCCCACGGAGTTGATATGGTGATGTCGAAGCCAAAGTTGACCCTCCCCACCGGAAGAACGGCGGAAATTCATGTGAGAAAATGCTCCTGCGAGCGTGCGCTGTTAAAGTGTCCCCTTGTTCCCCGTCTACTCCTATCAGCATACGAAGCGTGGCTGCAGTCAAGGCCGCGACTCTGCCATGCGACTAATCCGGGGTTTTGCTGGTCGTAAGCCTGAATTCTCGATGGTAGAAATTTTACGACTATCAAAGTCGACCTTTGGGTGGAACCAATTGGTGTCCACGAGGACCCAAAGCCTTCTCGAACCGCAACCAATCCGTGACATCAACTCCACTGGGATTTATCAAGTCTTTTGCTGACCATTGGCTGGCAGTACTGGCAAAGGAGGGCTCCATACTTTGGCTCCAGGTACAGTGACCTATCTGCCCTGTGCCTCAGAGACCACCCAACCGTTGGCCATCACGCAGTGCGGAGATTTGTCGTTATTCCTTGACTCAGACGTTAACACGCGCTTCAAAGCAGCCAGTCTCCATTTGGCTATCGTTATTGTGGCGTCTCAACCCGAAAGAGTCAAACAGCAGCAAGAAACGACCAAGTGGTTAAGCTGTTGACCAGAGACATTTATGTTCGTTTCGCCGCCTATGAGGTTCAGTAGTTGGAAATCTGGCTTCTAAGATCAAGAACACACAGCGCTCACACACAAAAATGCTCCAATTTGTACTGTCGCTATGCCCGGTTTCGGCGATTGAGCAATCTTTTTTAGCCGTTTTCGGTCGCAACCCATTCACATATCCAACATAGACCAAGAACCCAACCCCTCCCACGCCCTTTCTCCTGCTTTCTTGCGCATCTTGTGGCCTTGCCCCTGTGGCCTTGCCCCCGCGGCCTGCCTTAGGTCCAAACCCTGGTCTTAGCCTCCGGATCCCGGCCACCTGTACCGGCCGCGGCCATAACTGACGGCCCTGGAACCCACGCTAGCCGGATATCCTTCTGCCATGTCGGCCGCTTCAGATTTGAGTTCTGTCGTGGCCGATTCCATTAGCAGACAAGATCCTCACCAGTTTATCTGCGTGTTTCTGCTCGATAGGCAAGCTAGCCCAGCTAAGTCCCAGACTGGAAGTACCTAGCGGAAGTCAGTGGGGCGCACACGCAGAAAGAGGAAAGAGACAACAACGGTAGAATGGGGCAAGGGTATGTATGTACACTCAATCGACGTTGTCAAGCGTTCTCAACGTTCAGGTACTTAGCTTCCAAATCTGCTAACGCTCAGGCACCGTCCCGGGTGGGTCGTAATAACATGACCATAGCAACAGGGGTCCGCGTGTATGCAAGGTCCACGAGGAATCGAGAGAACATGAACATGTACGAAGTACACGCATGCACATATTCGTACATGGTACATACACTTGTGTGAACCATGTGGGAGAGTGCCACTAGAGCCAATGGGGATCGACTATGTCAAATGTGGAAGGAACCGCGAAAAAGCTAAACCTTCACAAGCTGTCCAGTTCTAACGGAGCGTGGTCGCTTGCTCGCCAATTGAAGAGGACAAGAAGGGTAAAAGTTCCAGGCTCGTCATGATCATACGGTCCTTACAGCATCTGTTCAGCTCATTATCAAGTCCCCCCGTCACGATTTGAAGAAGAAAGGAAAGAAGGGTCTTCTCCATGGCGGCCACTCCAAACTAGGAACCATCGCTGATCTTGGACCAAAAAGAAGCTGGCTGACCCCGGCACATCTGTAGGATACACGGTTCTTTCAACAGCCTGGTGGGGAAGAGGCTTTATGGGGAGATCATGGTAAATGAGCCATGGTCGACGTGGCTCCTATGAAGGCCACTCTCCCGGGGGACCTGCGGGACATGGGGGGACGAGGCTAATCTGTCGGCATCTAGATGAGCAGGTCCTTCCAGGGTCAAGACAGCAACACACAGCTACACACATGGTACGTGCCCGTTCTACTCCATTTATAGGTAACAACATACTGTGTCCTGCACACTGGTATACACATCCTGGGATGAGATTGCTACTCTGATATGGGCCGCAGGAGACACCCGCTTCCCTGCTTGTGCAAGCAGCTTTCTGCAATGTATGATTGACAACGTGATTTAGCACGGGTTGTTCAGTTGAGCCAAAAAGAACAATCTTTTGGGTTTACCCACCCGGCATACCCACCGCAAGAGGACCCCAGATGGGGTAACTGGTAACGGGCCCTGAACTAGGGAAGGAATGGCGACAGGTATCTACTACCCACTGGATATTTGACCAGCGGAGAGAGAGTCGCCATCACCACCTCACAACATGCCGTGTCTGTTTTGGTTTACTATTACAGGCGAGGAACGGCAAAAAGTCAAAACAAAACGAAAACGCCTCCCCACACAGCTCATCACATCACACACATGGGTATCACCTACCGACTCTGGATGCGTGGCTCTTGAGGCCGTTCGTGTGGTTGTGTTAACGGGCTTATAGCACTAGCTCGGTCTTAGGAGGTCCCCACCCCCCTGTCCAGGACCATGGACCTACTGGACCGGCCGGGGTCCTCTTTTTTTCTTCTCTTCGTTGGAAGACAGGGGTGAGTGAACGACACGACACAATACAGCATCTAGGGACCAGGGATGATGAAGATGAACAAGATATCCATGACGAGGAAGAAGAGTATAAGTATGGTCTCGATCTCCTTGGTCGAAGAATAAACACAACCACAATATCAAACATACAAGCACCGGCCATCGCTTCATTTCTCCACATCATCCGGCATATTCTGCTTAACCTCTGCGGGACGAATTGACATTGTCACCTTACCAGCAACAAAGCAAGGCACAACAACTTCGGCCGAGAGATTTTGATCATATATTTCCCTTTGCGTTCCCTTGATTATCCAACTCGCTTGTCATCAGCATACTTCACCGTATACACGGATCTGGTCATCAATACGACTGCCTTTTCTCCCAGAAATATCCAAGTCACCGAGCGGCACGGCATTCTTCCTAACCCTTTCACCCTGGCATACGGAACTTTTGGCTTGCGTCCGGTCCGGATTTCTCTCGTTTGTCCTGAGTGTAAGTCATGATTCAGTCTTGAAGGATTGGCTTCTGTTTTCTACCCCTTGCCCCCCTTGCTTGCTGACTGCTGCTGGAATGCTGCTGTGTTACCTCAAGGAGGCTTGCAGGAGCTCGCAGCTCTCCAGTTAAGTGATGTCAAAAAGAAAGGATCAAAGTGAAAGAGGAGATGAAGAACGTGTAGAAAGCACCACCAGAAGCAACGATAACAAAGTTTATGCTTGTGCTAACTCGTGTTCGAAGATTAGACAGATATAAAGGGACCAGGAGAAGCAAAATATCGTTTGGACGTTTGCTTCTTCTTGAACGAACGTTGAACGGTCGGCTACCTGTTCCGCTTCCATCGGCTACCACAGCCCGGCTTTGTCAATCATCGTCCCAGCCACCACACAGAAGGGGCTTACACCGCGATATCAAGAGTACAGCAACACACAAAGCCACACTTCTCAACTGAGCCAAACCTACCTCACTTACACACCATCCACACCCGTCCACACCCGCCACTTTCCACCACCACTATTACTCCCATCCCACCCACCCAGCCAACCAACCACACACCCCCTTTTCCCTACCAGTCACTACCACCAAAAATGTGCTACTTCGAGCAATCCCTCTGGTCCTGCGGCTACTGGAAATGGGGAAACTTCCGCCAGCAGTGCAACAAGGAGTATCGCACGGGCGAGACGTGCGGGCTCAAGCTCGTCTACGAAACCAGCTTTATCCCTTCTCCTTGCAAGATTTGCGAGCAAATCTCCAAGAAGGATCGAAGAGTGCGCAAGATGGAGGAAGATATTGCTCGTTGGCGACGCGAGGGAAACAGGATGGCTACCATAGAAAAGACGGAACATGATATCAGGGGTGTGCAAGGCCAGATTGAGGACTTGTGGAGGGGGCATGAGGAGAAGAGGAGGAGTATTTGTTGATCTGTGATCGGTTTATGGTGGTTGTGGTGTCGTTGTACTTGGGTTTTTGTCTCGGTTTGTTATGGGAGTGTGTTATTTATTCCATGGCTTTTTTGGTGTTCTTTCTCTTTTCCTTTCTGTTTTTCCTTATTTCTGGTTGGTTAGAAAATGGAGGATGAACGGGATGTTAACGGGTGGTGACATGAACGAAGGAAGGGGGTGGTGGTGGATAGGGGAAATGAGGAATTCAGTGGTGGTGGTGGTGGTTGGTCGGTTGGCTGGCCGCCAGGATGCTACGATGATGAAATGACTTCATGGCAATGGTTGATGAATACGGAAGAAAAATAGGGATATGGAGGACGAAACAGAAGAAAAGGTGATAGGATGGGACGGCGGGAAGAAGGGGGCAAAGAAAAAAGTACAAAGAATGATTGGTTCTGGTTTTCTTACAATGATTTATTTCTTTTTGTTTATGTATAGGTACAGCTTCATATCATAGCGGTTGGTTTTCTTCCAATATTTCATCGATAAACATCATCAAAGCTCTTCGGGACATACTTCGATGGGTCGTGTTTTAACGCAGGACCGGTAGTAACCTCTTTCTGTTCCGCCCCGCAGGTAGACGGCACAGCGGAAGGTGGTGATTAAGGTACACTCCCGCTCGGGTGGGAAAAGGCTACCTTAAATTGACCCTCCAAAATCATAAGAACACTGTGTTCACCCGACTGGAAGGGGATGTAGAGAGAATACGTAATGAGAGCCAAAGGCAAAATAAAACAAAAGGAAACTAGGTGGCAAGAAACAAGATCTCTTATCAGATCCAGCATTCCTTTACACTCACCAATCATAAGCCACCATCTCAACAGTCCATTTCAAGCTGCTCGCAGACCTAAAGTAATTTTTGTCACAGCCATTCTACAGAAGGTTCCTCCTCTCTCACATATTACGTGATCAACTCGCGTCTCGCATGAATTGTTAAGGAGCGATCGGTAGAAGCAGGAATATTCTAATCCAGCCGCTCACCTCCGGGCTCTAACTACTCAGTTCTGAAGACAAGAAGGAGGAGGGAGCGAGAACGCACGCTCCAACAACAGTGACTAGGTGGACCCGAGTGAGTGGAAGCGAAGTGCCATCAATACAATGAATGACAAGCCAGTCGTTGAAGCAATTTTTTCTTCTCTCTACTACCTACCTACCAAGTGCAACGACTAACATTTAACTGGCATCATAAGGCGGACTAGGGTACATACTTAACGGAGCAGAGACAGAGACAGAGAAACGGCTGGGTGGCTACCTACTGTACCTTTCTTCTTTCTTATTTCGCGGTAGGTCAGCACCTAGTCTAAGCCATAATGGCACTCCACTGATTCTCTGTCTTTTCTGTCTTGCGTTAATCTTGCCCTCATTGTAACTCCCCACGCACACAAGACCTAATTACCTCTAGGTAGGTAGGTAGGCTAACTCAAATGACCAAACAAGTGACTTTGTGAGTCTGCGAGTAAGACCCCATGCTACCGAAACACTAGACAGCCCTACTTTTTTTTTTCTTCTTCCCCCATGAGTTTTGAATCTGGTTGAGAATGGGTTAGATGGTGTTCACTGGGGCAAAGATGGGGCAAAGATAGGGTGGTCAGCAACCGGGGAAGGGGACCGGAACCGGAACCGGGGCCGGAACTGGAGTTCGACTCGAATAGGAACGAGGGGAGGCAAGACATAGTGGAGATATGGCACATACTGGTACGGGATGGATTCCAGTGATAGGGCAGAGGGTGGTGGACCTGCCTGGAGGGCTGGAGCTGGAGTGCAAGTGTACACCGTTGATCCGAGTATCATGGCGCACTGGGTGGTCTGGAGAATGGGTCGTGTAGTATTGTATTGCATTGTGTGTGCTGTCCAGGTCTGGGTGTGAGCGGGAAGTTTTCATTTTCCCCTCTTTTTATTTTTCGGGTTTGAGGCCTCCCTTTTTATCTGGTACTTGGGCTGTTACATGATGGTGTAATTAGGGTCGGAATTTGACTTGCTTGATCGATTATTCCCATGGTTGTTGCTTGTTGGGCTGGATGGCAGAATGGGGATGAAACAGACACTCAAGCTTCAAGCACAGAACCCCACAAAATGGAAAGAATAATATCGATCTATCTGTTTACTTTTATTCACCTTTTTAACGCCGTGAGTCGTGAGCAATCTTATATCAATCTCCCAAATGTAATCTTTCCCGAATCGTCCAGTGTCCCGTTGTCCCTCACTCCATAGATGTGTTTTCGTTGTCAACATGAGACATGAGAAGCCACCATCTATCCGCTCCAACCTTTTCCCTCCTTTTTGACTCATCGATATGTAAAAACATAACTATTAGTAAGCTGGATCAAGCAGAACAGTAGAGCTAGCAAGTAGCAATAGCAAATAGCAAGAGAAGTTCCCACTCCATCTCGCCATGACGCCTTCTCTCCTTTGGAGCGCCCAATTTTTTTTTCTCCGCGGTAGCAGCGGCTGTTTCTCAAAAAAGGTACCAAAGGCACCGACCGCATACCAGCAGCCCTCCCACAGGTGCCACTCACTCTCACTTCATCCTCCCCACTAGGGAAGACACAAAGTTTGCGTTAGCGTACGCACATACGGTGGTATTGACGCAAACAAAGGGGAAGGAGGAGGGAAGGGGGGGGGGGGGGGGGGGGGGCGAGATGCAGCAGCACAGAACCGAGGAAGATCCCAACTGGATATTCCCGCCCATAATGACTCTTTTCCATCGGCGGGTGTCGGAAGGTAGGAGGGGAGGAACGACGGATGGTGAGTGGGTGCTTTGGGTAGGTAGGTGGGTGGGTGGATGTTGAAGAGTGGCGGATAGTAAGAGCAGAGCAGATCAGGCTGTCTGTCCATGACATGACTGGTGTGTGAGCGTCGCTTTTTCTCCCTTCCCCCTCCCCCTCCAGTCAAGCCATGCCCAAGAATGTGGAGATTTTCGCGCAAGAAGGCTGGCTTATCCAGCGAATGACGCTCGAATCGACTCGAACCTTGCCGTAGCCTATATGCGAGGCCCCATAGAGCAGCAGAACGCAGGTCGGGTAGACGGAGACGGACCAACTGGCGAATTGGGGCTGAGGAGGGGATATGCGAGGACCAAGCATGTTTCCCTCCCTTTTCGCCTGCCTCCTCCGACGGGTCCGTGATGTAAAACTCTTGCTCGAACAGGGAGGTAAGAAAGCAGAGCGGCCTTGGCATAAGGTGACCTGGGCGACCTCATCATCTGTGTGCTTTTCTTTTTTCTGCTGGTATCCCGACGTAGGCGTGGCCCCTCGGGAGGTCGTCGGCCGGCCGCGGGCTAGACAGTGGAGACCCTTTGGGAGTCGAAAAAGAAATCGTTGTTTCCGTGAGGACTTGGGTCGCAGTTGAAGAAGCCGAATCTTGCGGGACTCCTAGAAGAAGAAGCCGAGAGAGCCATCTATCCGCTCCACCTGAACGGGCTCCAAGCACAACCCGGTGACAGCAAAAAAGGGAGGGCGACCGTAATCTGGCCTCGCTAATAGTAGACCACCAGGCCTCCAGGTCGTCCTTGGGTGGTACCGCGGCCTACAACGAGGCCATGGCTGGCTGATGTGACGTGCTTTGCTGTCCTTGCTTGCTTCCGAATGTTGCATGTCCTTCCGCTTTGGGGGTTACTGGCGCACCCTCCCTCTCTTCCTTCCCCTCGTAGCTCTCATTCCTCATCTCGATTTGTGTTACCCGTTCCACTCTCCGCGCGATAGCCATCTGCGGCCTGACAGTAACCCAACAAGTTACTCCGAAGCTGAACGATGCACGGACTCCTAGCGAGGCCTTTATTCCACGTGAAGGCGAAGGCGGAGGAATTGTTGGTCCAATGGTCCGAGGGAATGGGGTGGTGCATATGGCTGAGGCCGCATCTCGAAGAATATCCACCACCGATGGGAACGCAAACTTTTCCACACAAACCACGAACTAGGACGAACTTTCGAGAGAAGGGGACCGGGCAAGAAGACCTAGGGATTTATATCTCTGGCGAGAGACCATCAACTGTGAACTTGGTGAACGTGGCTGCCATTTAATGGGCGTGCTGCTTGTCAACGTTATGTTTGTTGGGGGCCGGAGAACTACACCACCATTGGTTGACCCAAGGCCAACATGGAACCAGTCAATGAACAAAGGGAAACTTTAGATCGATTTTGTTGCTGTACAACGCATAGGTACCCCCAAACTCGCCGTTTTTTAACCTATCCTTGGCCCTATCCAACATCTTGGGCATCCAGGCGGTGATGTATGAGACGAATGGACGCTTTATCCTACCTCGGGCGGGTATCGGACAACTCATCAACATAACATCCCGCCATGCCACGTTGTCTCTGACCGCAGACCTGTCGAATCGCTGAACGCCCGCTGTTTCCAGAACAGCATCGTGAAAGAGGAGAGATAACAAAAAGAAAATATGGTTGGAAGCCCGGCCAGGCCAACTTGGACATGCCACCTTATGTCGTCCTGGCCAAGGAATTCCCGAGTTATTGTTGTATATGGTGGTTCTGTTCGATGAACGTATGGTGTGGGTATATCCGTGGGACGTAGGATACTGTTGATGTTCGGTCCTGTTGCCGGTCGGGATCATGTGGGTTGGGTATGAAACGACACTCATGTTCTGGATGTCGTGGTATGGTTTCAGCGCATGGCGGCAGCGGCATCGGTAAAGTTACCGACCAGGGCCTCGCCTCCTTCGGCCTTGATGGGGATGGATGGCAGGGAAGCTTTACGCAGCATCTCAATGCTGTCGTCTTCGGGGGTGCCCCAATCAACCCGTGCCACGGAAGCCATGTCGTCGTGGGTCGAGAGCTTGGAAAGCAGGGCATTGTAGCGCTGGCCGGCGAAGCCGTAAGGAGCAGGGACATCCTGCATGGGTTTGTCATGCGGGACCATGTCGTAGATGTCGACCATGTTGCTGTACGGTTTCCAGGTTAGCCATTCGCTTTACCGACTCTGTGGATTTGGATCTCGGATCTCGGGCTAGATGTTGGAAGGGAGAAAAAGGAAGTGGAGGGAAGAGAGGGCATACTTTGATGTACGTTCCACCACACCCTGCAGAGCCGCAATTTCCCTTTCTGTCTCCTGGGGGTCCTCCTGGTACATCATGTGTTGCTGATCAAAGCTACCGTAGTGCATGTTGTTCTCGTCGAAGAGGGGTTGCTCTTCCTCCTGTGTAGAAAGAGAGTCCATGTCAGTTCCCATTTTCCGTCTGATGTCTCTTTGAATGGTCACGTCATCGGAACGGTGACCGCTATGCCAGAACCTACCTCATCGTAGTCATCGCGCCTCCCACTGCCGAAGCAGGTAGAGCAGTAGTTGCCCATCTTGTTCGTCCAGCCCTATTTTGTCCTCCCTTCTTGTGTATCGTATCGCCAGTTTAGACGGCGGTCGGTCGCTATCAATCGTCTTGGTCGGATGACGTTGGTCAATCGGAATCGCGCGAGCGAGAAGAAGTCTCGAAGCCAGTCGTCGTCGTCGAATGTAAGATTGGGAGAAAAGACCGTCGCGAAGAGATGAAACTTGAAACGATGACGAGATGAAACCAGGCGAAAGGCTGGGCCGTTGAAAATCGCTTAGTGATGTTTTAGTTGCTTCGCTTTCTCGTCGGGTGCCCGCTGGGGAGGGAGGGTGCTAGCGAGGTCGGTTCATCAGATAGAAGGAACGAATGTGTCGCGATGGACTTTGCTGCAGTTTCCCGAAATGCGTGTGGTTGTGTGGTCGGCCGTCGGCTTGGAACCGTCAGAGAATCGGAAGGGAAAGTTGTCCTTATCGCTATCGATCGTCGTCGTTGTTTCTAAATTTCCATGGGCCCCGATTCATTTCCAGGCGTTCATTCCCGCAAAAACACAAGGTACTGTATCGGTCGCGAATCGAAATGGCGATTGCAACAGGCGTGTCAAGGTCCGCAATGCGCCTGCCGTGTGCGGCTAAAAATCCACTGACGAAAGATTTGGATCGGTCATCTGGTTGGATCATCCTTGCTGGCCTCTGTGGCCCTGAACAGCAGGCGCGCGTGCACGTGCCTTGCCATCCACACCAGCCCCCATCAGCCTACCAAGGCGGAAACAGTTGGTCAATGCGCACTTACACGCCGTTTTAGCCCTCGTTGGTCGCTAACAGCGAACTAGCAGTGGCTTGGGCATCAATGGCTGATCATTCGAACACAACTTGTTGAAGGTTTCAATCCAGATTCCAGACAGACAAGAAGGGGGGCCCATCTGGAGGAATTCCTTGTTTTCTTCTGGAAGAAGTCTCGCTTCTGTTATGACCTTGGTCGGTAAACCTGCTAGACAAGGAAGGTGTGAAGCTCCCGTCACCGGACTCCGGACTTACCGCCCTGAAAGTGGAAGCATCCCGACATTCCAGTACCCGCTGTGGCCCTACAATTGCCTTGTAAGTTCCACTGTAACTTGATGGCCATCTCGGACTTCTGTTTCACATCTCCTTGCTACACCTTCATCATTCCTCTCGCAACATCTGTGAATGGAGGCGTCATGGAAAACTGACAAGACAATTTGACAGGATCAACACAATGACAAACAAGCTTTATGCTCAATAGCTGGTTAAAAACTCGCTCAAATCGACGAGTGTCGCAGCCGAGTTTGCACCTTCCTGCGGGGAACCTTCAAGCCCCACTAACGGGTTGGTCTTTCCTTCCTCTCCTCGAAGACAAGGGCTCCTTTGAGCTCGCCTCCTCCGAAAGCCTAAGCACGTGAGAATGGCATTTCTGACAGAAACAAGTTAGGGCTGATCGTTTTAACCTGAGAACGAAAACGATAAGGTAAATCATTATGGGTATATCCAACACTTTTCCAACATTACATAAACGCTCCAAATTTTATCACACTCTTCTCAATAACCCCCAAGAAGAGCAACTCGAGACATGCGAGTCCGGGAATTGTGAATCTTGGAAAAAAAATAAAAAAAATAGAAAAAAAAAATAGAAAGACAGGAGCCTTTGCGTAGCTCGTCAACCGTAAGTTTTCATTCTCTGATGATGCACAGTTTCTCGTCTTTTTGGTTTATTCTTGGCTTTTCGCCTTCTCTCAACATCGGACCAAGTGGAAGTTCCCGGAAAACCTTGTTCTTGATGCGACGGATGATGGACATAATTATCCTATCCTCTTCCTCCTCGTTCCCAGACTACTACAGAGCCGTCCCCGGATGCACCACATTCTGATCGACCGTGCTCCGCGGATAACGCACCGTCATTCTGGACAAGTCCACTGGCGTCCCGGGGTGCACATCATCCACATCCGCATCCGGCAGCCCATTTCCAAATCCAGCAGCCTGATGATTATCATTATGATGCTCAGGCGTCCCAACCGTCGTGCTCGCCACCGACAGCCGCACATCCATGACACTCAACCTCTGATCCAGGGGCGGTAACACCGGCGACGGCGACAACGACGGCACGCTCAAATTCGACATCTCCAGTCCCTGGTCCGGTGAAAGCGACTCGTTACCAAACACCGAAGTAGCAGCCGACGAGGCCGCGGGAACCGTCGAGATGAGCGTGGTGGCAGATTTGGTGTAGGCCGGTGGTAGTATAGAGGGGTAGGAGCTTGTTGGGCGGTCCCCGGAGGAGCCTGGAGAACCACCTACGACGTAAAAGCCGTGCGGAACGTCACCGTTTCCCAGAGCCATTGTGAGGCGTCGCGACTTGGAGCGCCGGAAGAGGACCATCCAGAGACCGAAGACGAGGATGATGCAGACTACGGGGACGATGACCCCGATGGAGACTTGGGCGGCCATGGGTATTCCACCTTCCCCGCCTTCCCGGGAGGAGGAGTCTGATGTGGGTGCAGCAGCTGGTTGTGAAGAGGAGCTCATGCTGGAAGATATGGGCTTTGCGGTTTCTGATGTAAAACTTGAGGGAGAAGACGGAATAGCGATTCCTGTGGCAGATGATATCGAAGTAATGAGCGAAGTGGTGGACGAAGTCATTGTCGGGGTTGTTTGTGCAACCGTCGAACTGATAAAAGCCGTCGTTGTCGTAGTCGTCGGAACAGGAATGCTGCTCGGCATTAAGGTGTTCCCTGTGATGCTGGGATTGACACAATAGGGGGAGCCAGATCCGGCTCCCATGCATGTTTGCCCGTCAGCGCAGCAAACATTTCCACATTGGAAATCACCAGCAGCGCAAACCCTTGCACACCCATCCTGGCCAGCCCCCGGAGCGCAACAGAAGAAGGCGCCGTTATCAAGCGAGCACGTTGATCCGTTTCCGCAACACCAGCTTCCTTGCGAACACGTTGTTTCGTCGCTTGCGCAGGTGAGGAGATCGCGTTGTGCGAGTTCGAGAAGGCCGCGGCGACCGGGACTGACTAGGGTGCCGATATGGAGTTTTGGGCGATGGGCAGGTTGGAAAAGAAACCGGGTTGGCGGGACGAGGAAGGAACCGTCGTTCATTGTGGCATTTGTTGAAGGATCCATATTTGCTGTTTTGATGATGAAGATATCGTCAGATAGAATATAGTTGGTAATTTAGTTCAAAAGAGCGACATGACAATATGGTAGAGAGTGTGCGACAGTGTAAAAAGAGCGAGACAACAGGCGAAAAAGATCGAAAAATGGAAAAACCGCAGGGAAAACTCTCCAACGGAAAAAAAAAAAGAAGGGAAACCAGTCCATATTATCAGAATTCTCTTCAGCAGATGCGCTAAGCGACTGTTGTTGGTAAGAGTGTGACGCCGTCAAGGTTGTTGTTGAAGATCGACAGTCATCAAGTCTGTCAATTCTGTGACGTTAATTTCCTCAGTGTTGATCCCCATGGGGCCATGGGCGGCCCGTGCAGCAAGCGGGAAAAGAAGAAAGGTACCACGGCCTGTGATTGGTCAGTCCGTCTACACACCCCGGCTCCGAGCCGGATCCCGATGCGGAACCTGAAGCTAAGCATGGGGCGGACGCCCGTACCTTGCAGTGACAATTGACAAGTTGACATGACCTTGATGGGCAGAGATGGGACCCTCTCCTCTCGGAGATCGACATGCAAAAAGAGTCCAAGAGAACGCCTGCACGCCCAAAATGGGCCCGGTTACACTACAATCCGGGGAAGTGCCGTGCCGGGGCTAAAACATGATTACTTACAGGAAAGGGATCCTGAACTTGGTCACCATTTCGGAGTCACAGTTAGCATTTGGCAAGGAACAGGTTTTCAACTTGACATGAATTTCAAAATTCAAATCTCCATTCGTTACCTCTAGCGCTGAGAAGAGAGCGGAGAGGTCCGCCTAGAGGTATATAAGGACGGGAATGTGTAAGTGGGTTAGGGTTGGCAATGATCACGACACAAGGTACGGATTGTGCCAGATCGAGTATTTGAGGTTCTTGGACGACTTTGGTAACGCACGTAGCTTATCGTGGGTTCGGAACACGTACGAGGTTGGACTCTGGTGGTGTCTATGCCACATGGTTGCAGGGCTTGATTTTCTGGGATTTGGCCGATAAAGCACATGCAGCATTTTGCAGACTGCATGGGTTTCTTGAAGACGGATTTGGGACACTGAGATGCACCAGCTGCGTTGCTGAAGTATTTACTGATAGTACCTATATGTCCTGGGAACTAACGTACAAAATCATGTCTTGGTTCTCCAGCTCGAGATTTCATGGTTTGGTGTTTTGCTGGTGCTCGCCTCCGGGATCTAGCCCTAGGTATTGGAGCCCTATGCCGACTGGGCCGAATTGTTGACTTCACTTGGGAAGGCGCAGTCCTTCTTATGCCGCATTCCTCTGAATCTTGCTAGGTGACCCCTGTCAGAATATTCCAAGAAATGGGGCCGGGTTTAATGTGTAATACACCCAAGTGAAGAAAAAAAAGTGATACAGATACATAAAGACCCGTTCAAGTCCCGACAGAACCGTTTATCTAATAGACAGACTCCCAATTATTCATATTAAAGACGTGCACAATGCGTTTATTCATAAACAAGGAAGGGGCAAGACGTGGATTCCAGGGGCATGTGCCAAACACTGAGAGCTGTCAGAAGGAACGACCTGCCTTGCCGCCTGCCTCTACATAAACATGCATCAACCCCTCCCACAACACAATATTCCACATTTCATGTGCATCACCAATTAACACAACAATGTCCGCAAAATCCTGGTTGCTGCAGGTCATCTTGGGGCCTCAGGTCTTTTATTTGCTCGTGACAGGGCAGTGCACTATAAATGAAAAGTTTGAGTTCCCCTCCGCTCCCCTCCGCTCCCCTCCCCTCCTGTCCCACGTTCCCATCTTCTCCATCCTTCCCACAACCATCCATCACCTTCTAAACTACCAGCACCGCTCTTTTCAGACTCACTCTATCAACATCATAGTCCCTGCTATCAAAATGATAGCCAACAAAGATTCTCTTACCAAAGCCGCCAACGACACAGGCTTACATGAGCCTGTGAGGTTCAAATGGCGTGTCACTGGCTACTTTACCCCCGACCTCCTCGATCACCACGTCGACAGACTGGCCCGGGCTACCCAAAAGCGGCTGAAGACCTGCCACTGGCCAGCCAAAGAGTTCCAATATGGAGCTGTCACGGTCGAGCCCATGGCCCTGTGCTCCCGTGAGGAACGCAAGAAGGCTTCTTTGGACAAGCACGGGAGAGCGTACCTTGCCATGACGGTATGTGAATCCCACGTCTCCGTCGTATTTTGGGAATCGAATCTAACAATCTCCATTACAGGTCCAGATAACCGTTCATCTCAAACGCGGACGCATCTTTGTTCCACAGAATGTGCTCGATCTGCACCAGACGCTCGTTGATTGTCTGTTTCCCATACATGGTGACAAAGCCCAAATTTCTACGGACTCTGGCTTTAGCACTCATCTTCCCATTGGCGGGTTCGAGCAGACGAGACATATCTTTAGTGTCGTCCGACTTTGCTGCACTGATGAAAATACCAAGCTGCTGGGAAGAAAGTCCCCGCTATGGACGTTTTCGTCCCACCCAGAGATTGAAGAGCGTTTTCCCGCCCTCCCGATCAATCATTTCATCCACAGCGTAAGGGACGACAATCTCCCTAGTCCTCATACAGATTGAACTAAGACTGACTTTGACCTAGGTCCTTCTGTCATTCACGGACAGCCCTAGAGAGTCCGACAAAAGGCTCTCAATCGTGCCAAAGCATCCAAATGCCGTTCAAGCAGTCTTGCACGATCAAATCGACAACTATCTCGAGTCGTATGAGGTCTTTAAGCGAACTATCGCTGCGGCACCCAAGCAGAGTTAGTTACCTCTCAACCCTCCATATCTCCAAGGGACCTCCTTAACACCTTGCACCATATAGGCACCTCACCAAAGGTCATCAAGAACGTCGTCACCACTGCCGAGATCATGTTTTCTTCGTTGACCAGACTCGTCAACACCATCGAGCAACATGTCGGCAAGAGCGTCCAGTGCAAGAGCCGCTTTTGTGTCAAGCGGTGGATCAAGAACTACTTCGGACCAGAGCCGCCTACCATCTGCCTCGACAGCACAGGCTTTGACGTTGAGCTTTGCAAGCGCACGCGTACGTACTGAGAACTCCTTCATTGGTCCAAGTATCCTAGACCTAACGGCTAACTTGAACCGCCCTACAAACAGTTCGCTCCAGACTCAATGGCTACAAAACGGTTGTGGTCAGCATGATCGGTGCCGTCCGTCTTCTGAATCTGGAGACACAGGAAAAGTTTAGGAACGTGATTAACTCCGCGGCCAACACACCCGATAAGGCCGACCTCTTGAGAACATACCAGTACATTTGGACTGGGTTGCCAAATTTCACCAGCGAGAACCTGTCAAAGACGATCGACTCGTTCACGACGCAGTGTGAGGAGTCACATCGCGGGCTTATGGAGCAGCTCAACCTCCTCGGCATTCAGCTTGGAAGGGCGTCCGGCCCTGCTAATCCAGCGGACATTTGGTGGGACGACATCAAGGAAAAGTGTTTGGACTCGGATTATCTGTACTAGTTGGCGTTATATTGTGGCGGTACTACTTATAGTACCAAGAAACTGCACGTTGGGAGGAATGATCTTGATATGATCACGTATTGCTAGAGTGTTCGGACGATTTGCACGGAACGTTATGATTCATGATCTTTTGTATACGGGCGATGGACGTCAGGTTTAAGTTTCAGGATTTACCATTCGACACACGAAAATATGGCGTCCGCATCTTTCAGACAGAGACACTGCGCGATCACCACGTGGCTGTCGCAGACAAACCACTTAAAGCAAAAATCCCCATGGGGTTAGAGTAGCATCGGTCCGGTATTCCATACACGTAGTTAACGGTTAGATAACGAGAGACGTCATGGTCGGTACCGTTCGGCATCGAGCGAGCCAATCAGCATCCACTTTTGCGCCCTAGTCCCAGATTCCCAGCTTTCCAACAGTGACAGCCAACATTCCTTTTTTGAACCGTTGTTGGCCACCCATCCTTTGTTTGTTTCTTCCGACTGGCCAGAACAGGCGGTGATATTCATTTTGTTTGTTTAAGACCGGGCGGTAGGAACTAGTAATAGCTGACAAACATACCTACACTACATATCACAACCATGCCCACTGTTGCTTGTTGGCCTGGGATCATCAACAATTTGACACCGACACCGACACTTAACGCGACAGACGAAACGGCGATGATCCCCCCGCCCAGCTGTTCGATCACCGCACTTTTCTTCTCTTACGTCGACCTTTTTGCACCAAAGCGCATTGAGCCAATTCAGAAACAATGGCCCGAAGAGAAATAGAAACGAAACCATCCTCAGCATCAGTATCACCCCGACCACTGGAAACCGATAAAGCTACTCCCGGCTCAGCAGCGCCTCTATCGGAATTCCAAAATCTAGGCAACGGTATTCTCTTCTTTGATCCATTGTTATCACCATCACCATCACCATTACCATCACCACAATCCCATAACCATAACCATAACCATAACCATGAGCACCCCCAACCGCAACCGCAACCGCAGCCACAACTCATAATCCTCTGCACCTGGCTAGGCGGCGCCACCCCCCGGCGCATAGCCAAATACACCTCCGGTTACCGAAGTCTTTTCCCTACCTCGCCGATCCTAGTGATCCAAACCGTCATTGCCGATTTCACTGTCCGTTCTGAGCAGGCTATTAGGAAGAATTTGGGACCCGCTAGGGATTGTGTGAGGGATATTCTTTCCCGGTCCAGTTCCAGCTGCAACTGCAGCTCCAGCTCCACTTCTAACTCAGCTCTTAGACGGAAAACGAGCCCGGGCAAGGGAACGGCGGAGACGGGGACAGGAGGGACGGGAATCCTCCTCCACATCTTCTCCAACGGCGGCTGCCACCTCGCCATCCAACTCGCCCATCTTTACCTCTCCTCTTCCTTATCTTTTACCCCCTCCCAACCGCCCATTGCACTACCAGTAACCCTGCAAATCCTCGACTCCTCCCCCGGCACCTTTTCCGTCAGCCAAACCTACGGCGCAGCAGCGCATTCCGTCCCTTCGCACCACCCGTGGCTTTTGCAGAGTATCGAAAGGTGGGGATTATGGGGCGCCGTGGTCATTATCGCGGGACTACAAAAGGCATTGCCGAGGAGTGTGGGGGAGGATGTGATTCGACAGAAAATTTTGGGGGGCGTGGGGGTGGATTTTGAGGGGATGAGGGGGGAGGTTTTACAGCCCAAACTTTGGAGGGAGGGGGGAGAGGAAGGAAATGAGACGGGGAGGTTATATCTGTATTCGAAAGCGGATGAGGCGGTTAGTTACAGAGATGTTGAGAGGCATGTTAGGCAGGCTAAGAGGCTGGTGAAGGAGAGGGCGGTAAAAAGGGGATTGGGAAGGGGGAAGGTTCAAGATGAGGTTGAAGGGTTGGTGAGAGCCGAGAGGTTTGAGACGGCGAGTCATTGTTCTTTGTTGATGGATGATGGGGAGAGGTATTGGAAAGCTGTGAGGGAGAGTTGGGAGGGGCAGATGGAGAGGAGAAGGCTGAGGAAGAGGGAGAAGGAGAGTAGATCTGAAGAGGAGTGTGAAGACGGGAATGTTGTGTTGGGCGCCATGGATGAGCATGGAGAAGGGCAAAAGAGTGGCAGAGAGCCAGGAACAAGGTCTGGTGTTGAGGAGGGTGTTGAATCAAGAGACGATGAGCTTTCTAGAAGAAACCGGCTGAGCAAGCTCTGATGAGGTCAAGTGCAGCTGGCGCTTGGACTATCGAGGTTGCGATAACCTGGGAAACTTGGTGCGGTTTCGAGGATACCTATATTTCATCATGAGCAACGCGACCATTCATTGGCGTGTCTGTTGGTTCGCGGCAGGGGATTACGTCGAATTCTGATTGTGATGGCAACGTACCGGAACAATCAAATAAACATAAACTGAGCAGCGGCAACGCGCTTCCCCACAAAGGACATCATGGTGAACTTCGAAGGCTTGCAAAGTGAAAGAATCGGGTACGGCGGGAATCCTGGATTGGTGACATTGGTTCGCCTTTTAGCCCAGGGTTGATCCACATTTTAGCCCCCATTCACAAATCCCAAGGCGGTTAAGCGCATGAACAAAGCTGGGGTTAGGGCGGTTGCTGGGATCCACTGTCGTCTCCAACGACTCCAACTTGTGCAACTCCACAATCAACCGCACCCCAACGCAACCTCCAACTGCAAAACCTGGGGCAGTGAACGTGTGTGTGGTTCGGTTGGCCCGTCCTCCCCGGAAACTAAAGAAAACAAAACAACATCTCAGAAAAGGCTACCTGCTTGCCAGACAGCGGCAGTCCCAGCGACATTGTGGATAATTCCCGAAAGACCAAAACAACCCCCCTTGTTTCGGAATATCGTCCGATGGGCTCAAACTCCACTTTCATCCCAGAATCTGCAAGTACAAAGTCGCAAGCGCAGACGACACCCGGCCCCATCGGCTTTTGTTTACTTTCAACCTTCCTGAACTTGCCATATCAACCACGGCGACCTACTTTTTTTTCCGCGACCGAGATCCAAACAAAAGCCACGTTAAAATCGAGAGACGCTCATACACATTCGACTTCAAAAAGCCGACGATTTGTGTGAGCGTGAAACCCGGGGTTCACACCGCCTAACCCACATCACATGCAACGCTTTGCATAACAGTGCTTGAATCCATCCAGAAGTAACACCACCAAAACAAGCGAGTTCGCAGGCGACATACGCCACTCTTCTATCGCCCAACGGAATTCGTTCGAGATCCGATATAAACCGATCGAAACTTTCATCCATTAGCGTATCATACCACAACCCCAATGGCGCTTTCATCCTCATTATCATCGCCCAGTGGAGCCGTCTCCAAGCGGCAGTCTCAACCCATCGGCTGCGCTCCAAGGAAACAACTCAATAACATCGAGGTCCTCAGTCTGATGCGCCAGCAACGAGAATATCCGAGCCCACTTAAAGAATGGTCCCCCGTCCACCCAGGCATCCAGCTTAGGGTAAACCTGCTCAACAAACTGCTCTCGGACCTCGAGTGTACCCATGTCCGCCTCCAGCAAGAGGCTCAAAAGACCCAACAAGCCTCCCAAATCGTCCAAGACTTCGCCGCCTGGCCTTCGATAGCACCCGAGTATGCCGCCATCAAGGCAGCCAACCCGTGGCTAGCAAAACAAGCCGCCAAGTATGCTCGGCCGGTCATCGAGAAGGAGTATACCCAGGCCATTGCGTTTCTGCAGGCTCGGCAGAGGAGGGAACAGTTGCCAGAAGGGGAGAAGCTCAAGAGGATAACGTCCGGGGAAGAGAGAACATCAAGTCCGCTGTCGAGTCCCGAAGAACATCGCGAGCTTAGGAAAAAGGCGAACAGTCAGGACTTGCGAGCAAGTCCCATCACCCACCAAGGCTCGCCTGCTCACCGTCGACCAAGGACGCCCCCGGAGAAGGAAGGAAACGGAAGACCGAAGACGCCAGAAAGGCCCACGCCTAATGTTGCGCGACGACCGCAGAAGACCCCGAGCCCGCGACAAAAGCCGCCAGTCAACGAGATCAAGAAACTGCGCCTTACACCACACGGCCCGAGCAAACCTTCACCTTCCCAAACTGGTAGTACTCCGTCTGGTCTGTCTCCCAGTCCGATGATGCCGAACCAACTCTCGAAACCGAATGCCTCGCCGTTAGCCTGCGTAGAATCTATGGGCATCGTCCTCACCCCCGAACAAAGACTCGAATTCTCCCAGCGCGCCGAACAGCTGGAAGCCATGGCGTATCTTGAGTTGCGTTGGCATAGATTGCACTACGCAATGACGGAGATCCAAGGGTTCTGCGTCCGGGGGCTGGCGGAGAGGGAAAGCGAACGGATAGCCAAGATGATGTACCCGATACGAAGACGCAGACCAAATGTTGGTGGCAACGGGGTTTCTGCGCTGCGGGGGTTACTGGCGGGCCTGGACGAGGACGACGACGTGACGCTTTTCGGTAGCGACGATGATTCAGCCGACGACTTCGACGATGATGACGATGACGACGAGTTCGAGAACGAACTGGACGACTATGAAAAGGAGTGGGAAAACGAGCTGGAGGATTCGGACCTGGACGACGATTGCGACTCGGGAGAAAACGATGACTCGGATGAGGACGACTTCCCCGGCTCAGCAGTTGAGTACACCCGCAAATACGTCAATCGCGGCGCCGTCAACACCAGTAACACCCCGACTCTCTTTGCCCGCGCCGGAGCACAAAGTAGGCTGTCCATGTCCGAGGACAATGAGCAGCAGCAGCAGCAGCAGCAGCAACAACAACAACTTCCTCTCGACCCTCACCACCCAACGACCCTGCCGAACACGCCTCCCGTCGTTTCAGGCATCAAACCCGAAACCGAAGAGGAGCCCATCGCCCTAACTCCCCCCGCCACACCAAAACCCGCCCCGCGAAAAATCAACCTCAACCCGCGCAACGTGACCCTTCCACCTTCCAATCCGCGGTCCTCAACGCTGAACCTCAACCTCGGTCTCGCCGGCGCTGGTGGAAACCTGAAAAACAAATCGAACCCGGCACTAGCCAAGGAGATCGACACCCTCTTACCCTGCGAAAAGGAGAACTCGACAAGCACCCCGCTTAAAACGCTGAATATCAATCGGAGTAATGCGCGGCCGCTTGGTGAGAAGAAGGGGTTGGGTATTGATCTGGGGATTAAGAGTAGGCCTGTTTTGGGCAAGTTGGGCGCATCGGCGGCGGCGCTGGTAGTGAAGGAGGTTGTTGATGGGGGAAAAGAGGAGGAGGCGGCGAAGGAGAATCAACCGCCTGTTGTTGGGAGTGGTGGTGCTGGTGCAGGTGGCGATGGAGGTGGAGGTAGACCTGGGCTACTGAAGCCGGGGCTGGGGAGGAGGTTTTCTTATCATGCTGGTGGTGGAAGGATTTTGGGTTAGTTGAAGTAAGTTGGAAGCACCTGAATGTTTATGCATGAACAAACGGATTTTCCGTTGTGAGAGAAGAGTCTGAGGCATGGAGGGATGGAATGGCATTTCACTGCAGAGAGATGTCTCAGATGGTATCTTGTTCGCTGCCATTTTGTCTGTTCCACATAGCGACGGGTTTCCTCGCAACATCAATCATTCTTGGATAAGGACGTGAAGTCGGCAAGCAGAAAAGCGACAATAACATATGGAGAAACGTGTGCCTCCCCTGAATCAGAAGGGCCGGGGCAGCGCAACGGAACATGAGCAAACGAACAAAAAGCTTGGAAATACCCGTATATACACATAGCCCTAGATGGGTGCATTTATGGTTTTAGGATAACAATTGTTATTGACCAAGATACGCATTAAATTAACTAGAATTCTGTAACAACAAAATGCGTTCATATCTGTTGTCTGCTCGAATACGCTTCTCTCTCGGTTGCGTTCATTGTTGCTGTTGCTGTTGCCTTTTTCAGGGTCTGGTAGTGTACAACATGAGTCAGAGCTTTCGGCCAGTAAAAGTGTGCGTACATAAGGTCACAAAAGAGTTCAATCTTTCATCAACGAACAAAAAGCTGCATGGCGCAGCGGAAGCGCGCCGGGCTCATAACCCGGAGGTCACTCGATCGAAACGAGTTGCAGCTAAATTTCGCATATCTTTTTGCATCATTTTTGCCTTTTCCCTTCTTTTTTCCGATTCTTGCCCTGCTTCGTTCCCTTTTTGCCCTTTTTGCTTGTGTTCGTGAGAGTTTCTCGTGCACCAATCGTTCGCTTCGCACAATACCAAATCCGTCTTCGTGCATAAAACCTGCAGGGCGGCTCTTTGTGCCATTTTGCACTTTGCGCGCTCCCTGGCATCTTGGCAGTCCTCCACTCTTTGACCAAATGCCCAATTGTGAATGGACGTGGAGCTCGTGAGATTGAGAATCTCTGCGTTGGTCGTCGGTCGTTAGGTACCAACAAAGACAAGCTCCATTCAACCACCCAGCGGAGCCGCAGACGGAGCCAGCTACTTAAGACATTCAAACAGAGCAACAACACAAGCACATATCCGGTATAGTGTAACGGTTAACATATCGCGTTTTCACCGCGAAGCTCGGGGTTCGATTCCCCGTACCGGAGTTTATTTTTTGGAATTTTTCGTTCCTACTTTCGTTCCTACTTTTGTTCTCATCTTGTTTTCTTATTTTGCATCTCTTGGACCGATATGACATTTCGGTTTTCGTTTTACGCGCATCAACTACCCAGACTTTGTTCAAGTCTTTGCACTCACTAGCTTCCTGGCGGCGAGCATTCATTCATTCATTCATTCAGAACTTGGGAATGGGCACAGCAATCGGACTTCATGTATGTGCAAGATGTTATTCATATGTACAAGATGTTCATGTCAAGATATTCACACTGAAAGGTCAAGTTCAACAACCAAATATTGTCCCTCCGGCCATTCACCAACCGTGCCATCTAATTCCATCCGCGGGCATGCATCGGTCGTCTCATGCACCGCTCGTCTCATGTACCTTGAGTTCACAAGCACTGCGAATAGTAATCATTCTGCTTCTGGCAAGTCCAAGGCGACACGCAAACCGTCGGGCCCGTGTATCCGATTCCGCCGCACTGAGCCCAGCGCTGCGCGAGGTTAGTGCCGGTAGGCGCCGTCGCCGACGAGGTTTTGCTGCTGGTGGTCGACGACGACACCTTTGTGGTAGTTGAGGTCGAGGTAGTCTTAACCGACGAAGACAAAATAGTCTTGACAGTCGACGTTACCAGCGTGGTCGTAGCCTTGCTGGTGGTGGTAGTGGTCACATGGGCCACAGTCGAAGTCGAAGTAGTCTTCACCGCGGACGAGGTGGTAACAGGAGCGGTACCGCTAACAGAAACCTGCGCATAAAGCACACCGCGGCCGTTGGTACCGACATACACCTGCCCGGCAACATTTCCGGAGCCGACGACCTTGTTAGCGGAGATGGACCCAAAGCCTTGAGAGCCTTGGACGTCGGACCAGGTAGCACCAGCGTCGGTGCTAGCGTATAGCTTGTTTCCGTTGGCGCCGGTGCCAAAGGCGTATAAGTTCCACGAGCCAGAGGCGGAGCCGACGCCGAGGGAGATGGACTGCGTGTTGGTGACGCTGCTGAACTGGGTGAAGGAGACGCCGAAGTTGGTAGAGCGGAAGATGCCCACGTCTGTGCTGATGTACAGCTCACCGGCGATGGTGGGGTGGGCGACGATATCGCGGACGGACTTGGCGGACCCCAAGGCGCCCGAGACGGCGGTAAAGGTCGCGCCCGTGTCGACGCTGCGGTAGAAGGTGCCCGTGGTGGAGCCGGCGTAGAAGACAGTGTTGTTGCGCTTGTTGGAGGCGATGACGGCGCCTGAGGGAAGGGAGGCCACGGCGGTGAAGGTGCCTTGGTTCTGCGAGCGGAGGACGCTGGCGTTGCCTGAGGACCAGACGATGGTGTCGGCGTCGGCGGAGTAGGCGACCGTGCCGCTGCTCTTGGTGGTGTCGGTGCCGGAGTGGGCGTTCCATGAGGCGCCGCCGTCCGAGGACACGGCGACTTGTTGGGAGCCGGAGCCGTTGCCGATGCGGACTACGTTGGCAGGCTTGTTGCCTGCGTAGTCGACATCCGTCGAGCTGGCCCATAAGGGTGTCATCCAGGGAGTCTTGGGAGAGGTGCCGAGGTCGGCGCTGGTCTTGAAGGTGAAGCCGCAGTCGTCACCGACAGCGGCGAGGAGCTCGGTGCCACCGGGGGCGGAGGCGAGACCGAGGACGGCGAACTCTTCGATGCCAACGGCAAAAGACGAGATGGACACGTTGTGGACGGTGTCCCACTTGGTGAGATCGTGGCCACCGTAGACGGTGAGACCGGTGGCGTAGAGCCAGTGGTCGCTATCGAGGGGGTTGATCTCGAGGGATTCAATCATCCAGCCGAGGCGCTTGCTGTCTTGAGAGATGAAGCCGGCCTCAATCCAAGGGGCGTTGTTGGCCTGTCGGCCAGTTGGGTTAGTACGTTGCCAGAAGAGCATAAAAGAGGATATCTTACGGTTAATCCGTAGTACCAGTTCTGTTCGGGATAGGCGGCCCAATCCCAGATGGGGGACCAGGTGTTACCGGAGTTGGTAGAGCGGAAGATCTGGGCATCGGGCCACCACGAGTTCAAGCTGGCCACCATAATGGTACCGGGCTTCTGCATGTCGACACCCAAGCCACCAAAGCCAAAGTAGAGGTCGCTGCCAGAAACGGGAGTGATGTTCTTCCAGGTACCATTGGCGATGTCGTAGCGGTAGACGCCGCCGGCAGTGCCATCGTAGGGACCGGTTCCGTCGCTGTAGGTAAGGTAGAGGGCCTTTTCGGTGGGCTGGAGCTTGCACTTGTGAGGAAAGTATGTGCCAGGCTGGCCAGCGACAGCGGACCAAGTGGCACCGGCATCGTTGGAAACCCAGACGGAAGAGGTGCTGTTAGTGGCGGAACCAACAAAGATGCGAGAAGTGGCGCCGTTGATGGTAGTAGAAGTCGAGTCGAAGGTAACAAAGGCAAGACCCTGCTTATCGTTGTTGTAGCCGTTGCTATCAGATGGGTCTACGATGTAGTCGCCGACGGCCGTGAACGAAGACACCTTGGAGAAGGTGACACCGCCGTCTGTGCTCTTGTAAAGACCGTTGCCGCTGCGAGCACCAAAGTAGATGATCTTGGAGTTCTTGGGATCGACAGCAAGTCTCTCGCCCATGCCACGACCGGGCATGTTGCCTCCAACCTTGAAGGGAAGTTCAGTGATGGACCATGTGTTGCCCTTGTCAGAGCTGCGAATGATGGCTCCATTGTTGGGGTCCCATCTGGCGCTTTGTTAACCCATGTCGATGGGGGCGAAGGACTCCTCAGGACTTACGAGTTGGTGTACATGCCAGTGGCGGCATAGACCTTGTTGGGATCTTGAGGATCGAGAGCAACGGCATCAATACCCCAGTTGCCCCTGATCATGATATGGTCAGCATATGTCTAAAGAGGAAGGGGATCGAGGACATCTAGTACTTACCACTTGGCGTCCGTGGTGATGGAGTCAGTAACGGCAGTCCAAGAGTCATCGGCATTCAGTCTATAAAGACCACCAATGTCGGTACGAGCATAGGCAACGCCCTTTTCCGTTGGGTGAAAGACAAAGCCAGGAACAAAACCACCGCCACCACCGATGTTGACGTTCTTCCAGGAAGCAGCAGCCCTCACAGGAGCTGCCGCGGCTGCTAGAAGCAGCTGAATGACCGAGGAGCTCTTCATGACGGGCCTATCGAGAGTCGGCACAACAGTTGGAGGTGTCGTTCAGCAGAGCCTCCAAGAACAACGGTCCAGACAGGAGATCACCATGCAGTTAATATATCAGACAGATCCCCACACTGTCCCAGTACCAAAGATCGAGGACGGTTCCCGCCGTCCGCCAAGGACCATGGCATCTCTACCCGTCTACCCGGAGAGTGCGTAAGCCATGGTTCGACGATATTCGGAAGCGGCTGCCATGGCTGTGAGTCGGTGTAAGTGGGGGCGACGGAGGGATTGTTTCTTTCGAGGACTGACTGGCGTGCTGGAACGTCATGCTCCAGAGCGGACGGAGACGAGGAAGAGAGTAGACAAGCAGGAGGCTCAAAAGAGAAAAAGAGACCGAGAATTCCACAAATCGGTTGGTATAGCGAAAGGGGGGCAGTACAGACTGCCGGGCCCGAGTTACCGTCGTTGCTACTTTGGTATGTGGAAGCGTGGAGCATCAACCTCCGCGTTTCACTTTCCGGGACATCGCGTGCTTGTCGACGGCAGGGGGACAAGGGCCAGGGGTGGCAATAGCCGAAACCGTGGAGATCGGATTACATGTGGGCGACGAGGAGATTCAACTATTAGAAGCGGTTGCCCTTTCTGCAATCTATTTCTTGATCATTGGGTTGTTCTGTTTCAAGTCTGGTGATGTTTTTGTTTGGGTTGGAATTTGAACCGTTGCCGAGGAAAAGTGGGGTGCACAGGGTAATGAGGTCGGTGCTGTTAGCAGGAACCAAACCGTGATGGATCGCGCACTGAATATCGAGTTCTTTCCATGGAAAAAAAGAAAAGCAGATAATCTACAGAAGAGGAGCCTCCATAATATTAGCTTTGGTTGCTTTTCCTTCTCACTTCGATTTTTCCGTTTCCAGATATATGCCTGTGCATAACCAAAAGTCGGAGCAGGGAAAGAACCGTGCTAACACATGCATCAAGACCAACCCTAACCCGGAGACTTACAAGCCGTTCATCCCTTCTCTTCCTCTTCACCACCCCGCACTCTTCCAATGCTTCTCTCCCCGCACGTGCATCGCTGCCATGTTCCGGCGGTGGGATGCACACCGTGTGGCAGCTGACCCTGGAGTTGCAACTTTGGGAAACACCAAAGCATCCGTTGGAAGGACATCATGACCCCAACCATCCAACACTCCTACCAACCCTGATCTTGTCAATTGGACACTCGAATGTCAAGTTTGAAAGACTTCGAGAACGACCATCGGCTTGTTAACTTGGGGAGGATATAACTAGACTCCCTCTTCGACATCCTGCATTTGTCACCTTCGCACACGTCGTCCTCCTACACCAAACCGCATTGTCTTCAGATGATCATCCCTTTTATTCGAGACTCTGTTATCACTTAATTGTTAAGGTTTTATCCTGGTTCCTTACCTTCTACTAACACGAACGACATTCGCAACACCTGCCCAAAATGGCATCAGTCTTTCCAACCTCAAATCCGGACTGGAATAACCTTTCAGTCATTCATCGCAACACTCTACCTCCCCGAAGTCACTTCTTTCTCTATCCTGACAGCGAGAAAGCATTGACTCGCGATGTCTCCCAGGCCAAGGCTCAGCTACTCTCTGGCGAATGGAAGTTCAACCTATCCAAGTCGCCTCTTATAGGTCCGGTTGGCTTTCAGGACTTCGATTCCTTCGAGGACCCAGACTGGAACCCCATTCTGGTCCCAGGCATGTGGCAGCTCCAAGGCTTCGGAAAAGGTCCCCATTATACCAACTTCAACTACCCATTTCCGGTGAACGTTCCGCATGTCCCCATTGATGAGAACGAATGCGGCCGCTACGTGACATACTTCCAACTCGCCCCCGAGGATAAAGACCATCAGCTACGACTTCGCTTTGAAGGTGTCGACTCGGCTTTTACAGTTTGGTTGAATGGCAAGGATGTGGGTTACTCCCAAGGGTCACGGAACCCATCCGAATTTGATATCACCGAATACGTCAATCTCGAAGGAGACAATATCCTTGCTGTCGAGGTCTACCAGCGATGTGACGGTACCTACATCGAGGACCAGGACCAGTGGTGGCTGAGCGGCATCTTTCGCGATGTCTGGATACACAAGTTTCCTCAAAAGTCCCACTTCGAGGACATCAAGGTCTTGCCCACACTTGATGACGAGTACAAGCATGCAAAACTTCGTGTCACTGTTGACCTCAGTACCCCAGAAAAAATCGTTTTGAAGCTGCTGGATCCAGCTGGGAGCGAAGTCATTCAGGGAACCGTGTCTGGACAGCAGTCCACTGTTGTCGAGTTCAACGTTGACGAACCGTTGAAGTGGACCGCCGAAATGCCGAACCTCTACACTTTGGTACTGAGCTTGCCAGATTGTGCTCTGACTGAGAGAGTAGGCTTCCGTCGCGTTGAACTCGTTAAGGGCGTCTTCTCCGTCAACGGAAATCCTATCAAGTTGAGAGGCGTCAATCGGCATGAACATCATCCTGATTTTGGACGCGCCGTACCCTACGAGTGGCTCAAGACAGACTTGTTGCTGATGAAACAGCACAACATCAACGCTATTCGGACGTCTCACTACATCAATGACCCTCGGCTCTACGAGTTGGCGGACGAACTCGGCCTATGGATCCTGGATGAAGCCGATCTCGAGTGCCATGGCATCTTTATCGTCGGAGGTGATGGTAACAAGATGCTCTCCGGCAACCCGGACTGGGAGGAGGCGTACCTTGATCGCGCACGCCAGATGGTCATGCGTGACTACAACCATCCGTCCATCATCATCTGGTCACTTGGCAACGAGTCCGGGTATGGCAGCAACCATAGAGCCATGTACGACTACATCAAAAGCGTCGACACCAGTCGTCCTATTCACTATGAAGGTGACTGGAACGCGCATTCGGCGGACATCTTCAGCAGAATGTATTCATCGGTTGACGACATGGAAGGTTACGCAAAGCAGGAAAATTGGGGCAAACCTTTTGTCTTATGCGAGTTTGCCCATGCCATGGGTAACGGTCCGGGTGCTCTTAAAGAGTACATTGAGCTTTTCTACAAGTGGCCTAGACTCATGGGAGGTTTTGTGTGGGAATGGGCGAATCACGTATGTGTCTCGAAATTCAGTTCGGATCTTTGGATTTGACTAACAGATAACCAGGGCCTGAGAACCAAGAACGTAGATGGAGAAGAGTACATGGCCTACGGCGGTGACTTTGGAGATGAGCCCAATAACGGTAACTTCGCCTTGGACGGCCTCTGCTTCTCCAACCATACTCCTACCCCTGGACTGCTGGAGTACAAGAAGGCCATCGAGCCTGTCCAGACACTCAAGCTTGAAAACGGTAATCAAGTCCGAATCATCAACCGATACGACTTTGTCACTCTAGACCATCTCAAGTGCTTCTATTACTATTCAGACGATATGCTCGACTGGGTTGAGAAACGGGAGGTTAAGGTCCCCAAAAGTATTGCCACAGATCACCCTCATCTTCTAAACTAAACCACTGACACGAGCGACAGGAGTCAAGCCGCACGAACAAGCGCTAATCACCATCTCTGACCTCCTCGGCGCCGAAAACCTCAAGGCCGCCGGCCGCCACGACTGCCACCTAACCCTTGAATTCTCCCTCGCCTCTGCAACCGCCTGGGCAGAAGCCGGCCACATCGTCGCCACCGGCCAACTCCCACTCACACCCCCCACCAACCCCTTCGCCAACCTTGAGCCCGCCAGCGACATCCACTTCGACCTCCTCTCACCCAACCTCCTCTCCATCATCAGCTCTAACAACACCTACGAATTCGACCTCTCCATCGGCGCCCTAACAAGCTGGAAACGTGGCTCCCCTTCGTCAGGGGCAATCAACATCCTCACCACCCCGCTTACCCTCTGCCTCTACCGCCCGCAAACCGACAACGATCACGGCTGCGACTTTGGTCGTAACTGGACCTCTAGTCACTTAAACCTGGCCAAAAACCACGTCCTCTCTACATGCTGGGACCCTTCTCCCGCCTCCGGCTCTCCGCCCACAGTAACGGTTAAAGCCCGTTTCGCCCCGCCCGTACTCAACTGGGCGCTCGAGACCACAACCATCTACTCCTTTCTCGAAGATGGCAAGATCAACATCAAAATGCACGGTAAACCCATCGGCAACTGGCTTCCCCGCGCCTGGGCACGATTAGGGTTAGAAGTAGGTTTGCGGGACGTACGCTCTGCTTCATGGACCGGTCGCGGGCCGGGGGAATCGTACCGCGACAAGAAGGAATCGCAACTTATTGGTTCCTACACCAAGACCATCGATGAGTTATGGACTGATTACGAGTTCCCGCAGGAGGAGGGGAACAGGACGGATGTGAGAGCTGTGGAGTTTCGGACGGAAAGGGAGTGGGAGTTGCTGCTGGGGGCGATGTTTGTTAAGCCCAATGGCAATAATACCAGTTTCCAGGCGAGTAGGTATACGGTGCAGGATGTAGAAGCGGCGAAACATCCTTTTGAGTTGTATAAGAAGAGGAGGGAGGATACGGTGGTGCATTTGGATTGGATGCATCATGGCCTTGGAACGGGGAGTTGTGGGCCGCCGACGAGGCCGGAGTATACGCTTTGGGCGGATAGGGAGTACGAGGTTGAGATTGTGCTTTATTGAGTCCTTTTGGGTGTAAGACATCCGTCTTTTTCTGAACTTTGAAGTTATGTTGAGTATTCTGTAACGCATATCGACCTAGGTACTTGTGGAAACTAGATAATCTTCATCATTCGATCCACTAAACGGTAGGGTCATGATAAGAAACAGTGGAAACGAATATGATTAGCAAATCTCATAGTGAAAGCCCCTCGAAAGCCCCGACTGAGCAGCGGCATGGATGGCACTCGATAGTGGTTGGTTTTAACACAACCATGGACCAGTGGTTAGCCTTTGCATGATGTCCTATATCACTCGCACCTCCATCTCCCTCGTCAGGCTCGCCATTTGTGGCCATTTCTCTGCAGGCAGCTCGAACTTATCGCAGTACAATCTTTCGTAGAATGTATGAGTCCGCCCATCCAACATCCTTGTTACCGGCCGGAGTATCATTCCCACGATTCTTTGATCGGGCATAGCGGGGTGGTAATTGCATCCTACAATCAGCAGGAGAAATCCGATTTCTCTTTCTTTGCCAGATTCATCCTCTTGGAATAGCCATCGGGGCGATTCAAAAACATCCCTATGCCATTCGAAAGGCGATGTAAATAACCATCCTTCTTTCCACTCCTTCGGTTCATTATCCATCTGACGTCTCTTCCACTCCATTCTCACATCCATAACCGTTCCCCTAATATTAAGGCTGAGAGGTGTCTTTCCGTTGCGTGACAGACCGAGAATTCTCGGGTTGTCATCCTCCCAGTCCAGTAACTCATCGCCACTGAATTGTACGCCAATCCTCAGGCAACTGTCAAAAATGGAGATGCAACCAGGTTGATATTTTGGGGTTCTCCAACCAGCCACTGTCCAGCTGCCAAATATCGACCTTCGGGCCTGTTCTAAGTGTAACCCACCACGGTTGCCCCACCAGTGCCTCCATGTAAGACTGTAAACCAAACTGTAAGTAAGGTCATTCTCGCCGATTTCCTGAGCCTTCGATGCTCCTTCATGTGGATCTGCATACTCAAACCATGTGCCGAAAGAGCACGCCCGTGTCTTGCCGCAAGGAAAAGTCCCATGTTTCTCCCATGAACGAAGTGGCAGAATAGGTAAACCACAAAACAATTTGAACACTGAGGCTCCAGCTGCGTGCGCGTACATTTCCATCACGCCGGCAATGGCATTCAAAGCATCAGTGTCGTAGCCAAGGTCCCTCAACCCGTATTCACCCAACCTCTCCCAGACCGTCAAAGGATTGTGCCACTCGCTGGTTCGCGGAAACACCATCCGCAGCTTAGTCCCTTGATGGTGCGTCAAGCCACCAAAGGACAAAGCACGAACCTCATCAAACTCCTCTCCTGGACCGGGAATTGGAAGGGACAGCACTTCATCGCCATGCATCTCCTGGCACTGAAAGTAAACCATAAGATCCGTGAAGACGAGCCTACGCTTGGACAACAGCCCTTCCTGGTATGTCCAGCCTCGAGTGTTCCATTTGGAGTTGGCGATAGTATCCATCGGAGCTTCGTATAGCACTAGAGAGATCTCGTCGCTGATTTTGACTCCCAGCTGCGGAGTACGAGATCGCGAGCTAACCCCGGGAAGTCCATATTCCGGCCCTTCTCCAGCTGCTGCTATGATTGTCAGAGTGGAAGTAGAATAAATTCTGCCCATATTCAGAATCTGTATTTGCTTGGCGACTTCGTCGTCTTGTGGGATACAGTATCTATCTACCCATAGGTATCGGTATCCTAGTTGGCTGACGACCCGCATCGCGTCACTGATGTCTAGGGGTATCTCAGAGGGGAGAGCAGGACCGCTCACGCCATTGCGGTTCATTGATTGAACAACTGGTCCGTTAACCGTCCCAGCCGTTCCCCAGAGATAGCTGAGTGTAACAAAGCTTGCCATCCGATTGGCGTCATTCTCTCTGGGAGGGAGAGGGATAATCCAGCCCGTGGTGCAGTCAATGACCAGAAGACCGGCTATAAAGTCCGCGTCCACTTCTTCGCATTGTGAATGTGTCGATTGGCAGAGTTTCAGCCACTTGCCGATAAGATTAAAGTTAAACCTGTCAGGATCCAGCTTCCTTCCTAGAAGGCCACTGCCAGAGCCTTTACCTCGGGTCAAGGTGTTGCTGCCATTGTCAACCATACGCAAAATCAGCTGCGGGGTAGGCGAGCTTCCAATCACTCTGCCCATTCTTCCCTTTTGGAGTTTTCGCAAGTGCAAAGCCGCAACATCTTGTGCACCATGAGACATGAGGGCCCCCATACTGCCCGGTGCCTGTAGCGTAATTCCTTCCAGTGAAAGGTGCGGCATTACTATGCAGTACCATCGTTCTTGTTTTGTTGGAACCAGATCCAAGCGGACTTGACACTGATACAGAAAAGCACAGAGTGAACAAGTCGGTGCATGGCTATCCAACTTGCCCAGCAAGCCTTTGAATCGATTTGTTCGAGATATGAATTCATACCCGCAAGGACACTCTGGCTGGTGTGATCTGATCGTGACTTTATTGTTGGGCCACGACGTTATCGAACAGTCATGAGACCTGAAAAGTGAATTGAAATTCACTTTTCGGCAAGTCCTGCACAAACTTGGATTCCTCTTGTTGAAGCCCACCTTTGGGCCGGCCGCTTTGTCCGCCATTTTGTCGTGTTTGTCATTCCTCTTTCCAGCATCATTGTTACCGTTCTCTTTGGCGCTATCATTGTTGCGGTCTTCTCTGTGGCTGTCGTGTAGGGACACTGCGAAACAACAACCCAGAAGATCCGTGAAGGGAGACGAGCGCGCCATGGTTGGGTACGCTGGGGTGAGGGTGAATGTTCTACCACAGGGTAGAGACTCGCGTTGAGGAAGAACTGAATAGCGGGATCCAATGTAGGAAGGACGCGAATACGCAAACAAGTGCTTTTAGTCGTGACGACCTTGCCCAGACTGATATGTGTATACCGGGGTGAGCCCGGTGCAATGTCAATACCACGGACAAAGGGCGGCAAGAACAACAACAAGATAGAACCCGTAAGTTTAATTGTCTTGAAGCTTTTGGCAGATCTTCGGCGGCGATTCGGAGCTAAAGCAAGATCTGATGAGGAGTCGAGGTTGAGGTTGTGCCTGCGGATTTGTGCCGACTCTTGGAGATTTCAAGGGCCTCACAGGTCAATCCGTCTGTCAGCTCATGGAGCATACCTGTACAGCTGGCAGCCTGACATCTCCTCGGCTTGCGTGGTTCCATACACAATGGGCCATGTGGGGCAGGCATCTAGCAATTGGTGCAAGCACGAACGACTGCAAAAACTCGAGCCCTTCGTTTTTAGCTTTCCAAAGTCTTTTCATCAGGGCTCAAACCCCCTCTGGCCACTGCTGTGGTTTTCACTGGTAGTCGGAGCAGCCTCGAGGCCAGACGAGTAGTCCAACTGACAGACGCTATGTATCAGATAGATAGATGCCTTAGGACTGGGGTTTAAGAAGCGAACTCGAGCTTGCAATGCTAGAGGTACCTCGAGTATACTGAGAAAGCGACCAGACCTCGGAAGAAAAAAAAAAAAAAAAAAGAAAGGCCCGAAATTTTGCGATGGTTCATCTGCTTGTGAAGCTGAGCAATGGGAACGAAAGACCTGGAGGTTTGTGAGTTGGAGCAATTTGTGATATTCGGAAGGCGCTCCATCCAAAGAACTTCTACTCTGCAGATCGGCAGTGTCTTCCTCCCCGTCCCTCCCGTCATCCCAACTTCCCCATACATCTTTCAATCCTGCCATCCTAGAGGTAGACTTACGTTTCGAACTCCGGCCAACCATCTCTTCATCTTCCCCAAAGCAAAACATCATGCCTCACCTCCGAAGTCTCAATAACTCTCCCCTTCATCCCTCCAACCCAAACACATCTCTTTCCTTCCCTCACTCTTCTTCCCAAGTGAAATCGGAAGCCTTTCCCCAATCTTCCTCGCCATCCCAAACCCCGTCAAAACCGGCATTACCCTCCCCGCGCTAACCACCACCATAACATTTCCCGGACGAATGTCATTATGCTCCACTCCCACCTCATGCAAGTATTTCAGGACTACATCCTCTAACGCCTGCAGAAACACTTCCTTATCTTCGGTGGCCATTGTCCCAACACCCATCTCGAGGTACTGGTCAAGATTATACTCATACCTCGTGGATACCAACCCCGTAATCCTCGACCTGTGTATACTGCACCCGAGATACTCGGCAATATTCGCGTGCCCCCATAGTCTCCCCTGAGTCGGTGTCTTCGCAATCATCTCCAAAACCCTCGCCTCTTCCAGAAGCCGGTTCGGAAACTCGTCTCGAGCAGCCGCAGCGCCCCGGTTTTGCATACAGAAATACTCTTCATAATACCTTCCCAGATTCCGTTTGACATAAACCATGCTCGGTTGTAAATCCTCTGGTACCTTGGGCACAATGGTGAACTCCCCTCTCCACAGAGACACGGTCGGATAAACATGTTCATCAGGCACTGGTTCCAGAGAAGCAGTTATTTGGGCGAAGGAAATGTCGAAGATCTTGATGGGGGCGTGGCCGAAGAAGAGGTGTCCAAACTCTGTGTTGACGGCGGCGAAGCTGGTCCAGACGAGCTCCTCGCCATGGTACTCGCGTCCTGGTATGATGGTTTTGCGGAGGAATCAGAGATCGGTCCATGCTTTGATGACGGGTGTTCCGGGCGCAAGGGGCTTGGGGGAAGGGGAAGGCGGGGGGCGGAGGCGATGGGGAAAGCGACGCTGGATGATGCGGTTACAATGTTCTGCGTATGAGGCCTGGTCGAAGGGTTTCTCGAGCGAGTTCATGTTGGTGCTCTCTAGAGTTCCGAGTTCGTGAGTAGTTTGGAGTAGGCTAGGTTCGTGAGCGGAGAGACCGGGAACTAAGCAATGCCTCACGAAATTGGATGGTAGTGTCTGGGAGGAAGAGTTGCGCGAGATGCGAATCGGCCTCAAGGCCTTTGCTTTTACCTGTAGCTTCGAGGTACCCCGCGTGCAGCCGCAAAGTTGGACCGTCGACTCGGCGCGCACTGGGTATCCTGTCCAGCATCTACTTTTACATACTGCAGTGATGAGCCTTGCCTGGAAATATGTGGCTTCGCAAATATCCATTCATTACGTACGGAAGGTTCAACCTGAACATTTACATCTGCGGAGTGTAGGTTCGTTCTTTCTCTGATTCCCTCCACCCCCGGAACCTTCCCCATCCATCCTGCTATCCTACATCTCAAACTCCGGGTTCTTCAACCACTCCTGAATCTTGCCCAACGCGAAAACGTCATGACGCACTTCCGAAGTCGTATAATTGTCTGCTTCATCAATCCAACCCGGCGTCCCACGACTCACCCCTAGTTTCTCGCCAATCTTCCTCGCCGAGCCAAAGTCAACCAGGACCGGCATCTTGTTGCTACCATTGACCATGATATTAAGAGGATTGATATCGTTGTGTGCCACCCCGAGTTCGGAATGCAAGTGACGCACTGCACTCTCCAAGGCATCCATGAACGCGTCCTTGTCGTCGATGGTGCCGATGCCAAGCTGGAGGTACTGGTAGATGTTGTACTCGTACTTCTGCAGCACCAAGCCGGTGACGTGCGAACGATGGACTCGGCAGCCGTAGTACTGGACGATGCCTGGGTGCGGCCTGCGTAGTGTGAGCTCGAGGATACGAGCCTCGTCAAGAAGCTGGGGAGGGAGCGAGCCGAGAGCATCCTGGTCCTTGAGGTCCTCGTAGGCGCTAAGGGAAGGTCGTTTGATGTAGACCTTCGACTTGCCCAGGTCCTTCGGTGCGACGGTGAACTTGGCAGCGGTGAGTGGAGGCAGTTGTGGATAAATGTGGTTATCTGGAACTGGCTCCAGGGCGGCCGTGATCTGGTCGAATGTGATTTCTTTTCTCTTGAAGGAGAGCTGCCCGAAGAAAACGTGGTCATCCTCGTCAACGAGAGCAAAGGTGGTGTAGACGATGTTGTTGAAGCCCGGTGAGATACATTCGCTGAGGAGACTGAGGTCTTGCCATGATTTGACTTGGGGAGCCATGGCTTCAGGAACGGCCGAGGCAGTTTGGTTGGGAAAGGCTTCTGGTGACGGACAAGCAAGGAAATGCAGGTGATAGGGTTTATATGCGCTTAGTTACCTGCCCTTCAAATATGGGATTCTCTACAATGATTAACGTAAAGTACAATGTGTGTTGAGCGAGAAGATGAGGTTCACCAGGACGAGGAAGTGCCAGGGCCGTAGCTGATGGATGAAGGTATGATGGAAAGTGATCGGTCACAGAAGGTCTGGCCAATCGACAAAATCTATTAACTGCACAAACGGGCCAAAAGGCAGAAGTGCTTAGCACAAATGTGTAATCGCTGCCGGACTGGCGGCAGTGTCAACAGAAAGTGACGGATGGGCAGTGTTACCTCTAGCAAAGAGAGGCAAAATAAGGCAGGCAATAATGCTCTTTCGGATTCAATCGGCATGAGATCCCACACACTACTCCCAAAGTCACACTGGAAGTGTACGAGGCTCGCGCTCTGTAGCCCATCGAGTGGATAGCCCAACGTAATGAAATGATGTTTGATACCCAGCCGATGACACATCATACATAGGATACGTGGCTTGCTACTTTCACCAGTCTTTTCTGGTCTCCAACAGACTCACATACACAGTACACCTACAAGTCGCTTGAAGACGCAGCTGGGACACGTCTACTAGTTCAAAAGAGCCGCAACTTCGTGATAGCGACCCTCCCTACAGACGTCTTGCATCTAAAGGGTCAGCCACATGCATCAACATCACATGTGTCTGCTCACAGAATCCTTACCAACATGGACGAAACCGCCTTCGGATATCTTATCGAATCACATACCACGCCGGCCTTGTTTGACTCCCCGATGAGGAAATGCGGCGGAAGGTAGAGTGACTAACGCAATATCAAGCGCCGAGGAAGCCTATAGGAACTCCTATCACAAAGAAATGGCCAAGTTACATGCAGCCTGGTGGTCTTATCTTCGTATCTAGAACGGAAACTCAAAGGCAGGCTGGAGTGCTTCGGCTGCTTGGCTGGGCCTGCCTCTGTCCCCCTCCTCCCCTTGGTTAACATTTTGCGAACTTCCACCCTATCGTTGTGAGGCAGGCTTGCCATGACAGCCACACCGTCTAAAATTAAGCTTATCCAGCAACGAAGGGGCACCACAGCAGGACAAGGACGGAGTTGGGGGACCGCGCATAGTCTCTGGATGTGTGTATATATTTACCTATCCCTGTTGCAGGATCATCGTTTCCTGTTCTTGTTCAAACTCACAGCCCTTACAAAGTCCTTCATCCTTTCCTGCGACTTACCAACAGTCCAATCTTACGACAAGCCGCTCTTGAGCTCCCCAAGATTCTATTACCTCTGCCAAGACACACACCCACACGTCTTGATCAAAATGTATGGCAACAAGACCGATAAGCAATCCCCTGTTTTCCGTACACTTGAAGATACTTGTAATTACATGTTGCTTACTGTTTATTCCCAGGTGTTGGAAAACGACTACCATCATGAGTTACAGGGACGCCGACAATCAGGTTGTGGAGAAGACACGCAGCAAGAGTGTGGATTGTCAAAGATATGATTGTCCAGATTCTGCGCAATACGTTCTACCCTCACCGCCGCCCTACGTAAACGAGCAGAACGGGGACGAGCAGAACAGATACGAGCAGGACGGGGACTACAGAATGCACAGTACCGACCCCCGGTAGGTTATATGAGGGACGCGTAAAGGCGCAATGAGACCAACACCCCCGGGATGGCGTGTACGAGTCTCCGGCCATGGTCATGTGGTGCGGGCATGAGCCATAGTTTGATCGGGGAAAAGACGGGATACTGGTAGGTAGCTGAACACTTCTATGCGCAGCGGGTCGAAGGAATCACCCAAGCCTGGTCGGTCGAAGCCGGGATCTTGTTCCCTTCTTTCTGTTTTGTTTTGCTTCTGGACTGCTTATTGCTTCCAGCTTTTCGGTCGCTTTTCGTCACTTGCTTATTTGCTATACAATTTGTTCCCATCACAAAAGCTTCTGTGACTGCGTAATGACCGCGTCTCGTGGTAAGCTTGGGCCAAGAAGCGAAATGATTTTGTACTGCAGTGATCAAGTTCCATGATCGTATGCCAGTCCTCGATTGGTTGGGTGTGTATCTGCTTCCGGCCCCTTTTTCTCCTGAATGATGCCGAAACACTCCCGTTCCAGAAAGGTACGATGGATGTGCATGGCAAGGTGGGGTGGTGAAGGGAGCGAGGAAGGGGGGTGCGGAAGAGGGCAAAAATGGAATGAATGATAGAGGGAAGAAGGAACGTCCAGATGTGAAATGAAATGCTGAACGGAAAAAAAAATGAAAAAAAATACAAATGAAATAGAAAGCACAGAAAGAAGGAAGAGAGAGGAGATGATGTACTCATAAGAAGAGCGAGAACGTTTTGTTTCTTCGCGTGATTCAGTAATCGCATTGAACATAAATATGGTAATGATATGATATGGTATGGTATCATGGGTATGAATGAGATGAGTGTGTAAACTATTGACTCCATGCCAATCCCACTTCCAGTTCCCCTTCCACCTGTTCCCAATCTCATGCAAACAAAGGGAAAAAAATCATAAAACTAACAACAAATGGGTATAATGATTCCTCTCATTCTTCTCCTTCCTTGATATTCGTTCACTCTTTCTTCTTCACAACCTCCTCTCATCATTGAGGGCCATCGTCTCTAGCGAGATCCAAGCTTATGAACCCATCTCCTCAACATCATCCTCATACCATGCTTCTTTTCCTTCTCTCCCTTCGACTCCTTATCCGCTGCAACAAAGGTGGTATCTACCACCAACCTTGGCACTTCACGTGTCTTGGTTCCTTCTTCCACCACTTTTACCGCCGCCGCCGGCCTGACATCCAATGAAGGCCTGATCTCCTGGATAGGCGCACAGTACGTCGTGGCCATCGAATCATCTCTCTGATGACCAAAGTAGTGATGCTGAGAATGCAACAACCCTCCGCCAACCAGTGGATCCGCCGACCTGTTCCTCAACGGACACATGCCTTGCAATCCATGCCGGACCTTTTCGCTAATGGGGCTGCCCAAATCCTGGTCGCTTTGCGCTTCGGAAAGGAGCCGGTGTCGCATGAAGTTGGCGCCGGTACTGGTTGCGCGGCGCGGACCGGGTAGACGGACGTTGCTCGCAGAAGGGGCGGGTGAGGCGCAACGTTCGTTGACAACCTTGTCGACGGGTTGGGTGGGCATCGAGTGGCGTTTTGGTTTGGCCAATTGGGCTGGCGTTGTTGGTTGTTGTATTTGTGGTGTTTCTGTATCGGACGGTTGCCGGCTCATTGGCGGAGTGCTAGCCTTTGAGGAGCAAAGAGAGTCGGAAGGGACGGGACGGGACCAAGTGTGTCTGCGGCGGGGCCTTTCGTTGCCGGTTGTTGGTGATGTCGGTGACTTTTCGTCCGAGTGAGTGCTGGTGTGGTTGTGAGTGCTGGGGATGTAGTTCGGTGACCACCCTGATCGCAGGACTACCCATAAAGCTGTGATGGAGATGAGAGATTTGGTGGCTTCGTCGACGACGCGGACGGTTCGCTCAGACTCGGGTTCGGGCTGAGTGATGCCGATCGCGGAGTCGGCTTCGCTATCTTCTGGTGACGAGTTTAGTGGGCTCGACGGGCTCGACGATGAAGCACTCCGGCTGGGCATGTTGACCGAAACCGCGCGACCAATTGGCCTTGGTGGGAAACGACCATAGGACGATGATACAGTGGTGTAAGTATCCTGGACGTTGAGGCTACTGTGTGTGAGTGTCGCCATGACTGGATGGCGTCGTGACAAGGGGTTGATGATGCTGAAGGTAAAGCGGGGATACCCGGGTGGCGGCGCAAGTGTATCCGCTGCTGGTGATGTGGGTGGCGTCTTTCCAGCGCTTCGGCGAGCCCAGCGGGCTGTCGTTACATGACCGCACTCATCGACATGGACAAAGTCGTAGCATCCATTAGGCAACGCCTTGGCGGTCCAGATCGATCCGTCACCCAGCACAATCTCCGTTTCCTCCGAATGCTTGACCGGGCTGTACACGGCCAGGAGCTTGCTCTTCTCAAAGGCATCCTCGCTGTCGCCGCTTTCCGAATCTTCGCGATCCAACTCCTCGTCATCCCGCTTCATCAACACTAGGTCGTCATATCCAAGCTGGCGCTTGACTCCGAAAATCCCAGGAAACCGCTTTGCCAGTCGGGGGGTTATCACAAGGCCGGCGATCCGCGAAGAGGGGAAGACCTCGAGCATAGGGCGCGCATGGCCATCGGGAGACACCGCCTTGAGTTGCAAGAGCAGCCTAGGTAGGACTGTGTGCATCACCTTGAGGTTGCCAAGCTTCTTTGGGGTGGGATAGCCAAGGTAGTAGTTGGTGCTCTTGCGCGAGGTGGTCCGGCGGCGACGAGTACGGCGACCTGAGTCCGAGTGACCGTCGACCGAGACGGCCACCTCGCTGACTTCGGAATCGGAGAAGACATGTTGGTCTTCATAGTTCATCGCAGGCGTTTGCGGTTCCACCACATCGGGTTCCAGGAAGCGAACTAACGGCTCGGGAGTGCGATTTCGCGGGATGTACTCTGATGCTGGCCGTTGTCGCAAAACAGGCTTCTTTGGGACGGGTGCGTCGGTAGTCGTGGTCGCTCGGTTCTTTGGTGGTGAAAGAGCCGAAAATAGGAGAGGAGGTCGTAGCTTGTGCGAAGACTGAGGAGACGAGGGCCTGTTGGAGTATTCATGGCCGTGCATGCTGGCGCCTGAATGAAGAAACATTGTGATGTTGAACTACCCCTAGGGCCCCCGGAGGCCCTTTCCGTTTTGGGGTCGACAGGACGAGTATGGTAAGGAAGGAAGTCGCCAGTGAACTCTTAGGAGGAAGATGCGTAGTGGTAGTGGTGTGGATCTTATGAAACTGCCGTCGAGTATGAGGAAGGATCAATTGTGTTGTCGTCGAGTCTCAACGGAACCAGCCGCGATGTTTGGTTGGTGTGCAGTTGAACCGCCTTATATGAAATCTTGGGTGTTCGGAACCCAAAAGCCGATTGTGAGGCAATTCCCAACTAAATCCCCCAGCTCTCCAAGCACTGCCACATGCGCAGATCCCGAAACACGAAAGCTGAAGAAACCCAAGGTCGATGGAGGACTCTCGCTTTGGCGCACTCCGACAAAGACGATGCCAATTCCCTTTCTTAATCCAACAATGGAGAGCTGTAACTAATATGATTCGGTTCACATCCAGGTTGTTATACAGAGTCGTCGGTCGGAATACTGTTGCCTGAAATGCAGTTGGCTAGTAGTGAGGTGGTAAGAGCCAAGTGTGTAGTGAAGCAAAGAGGTGATGGAGCGTTATATGTAAAGGGCTACACTACCCAGACGATCCGGTGGCGTCGTATCGGAGAAAAGAGAAAAGCCGCGAGAGAAGGAACGGAAAGAAGCAAGGACAGGATTCCAGATCAACGAGAGATGCACTTGGGAGAAACCAGGGACGTGGAGAAAGCACAGAAGAGAAAGACAAGGCCCTGACGGCTTATTCGATTAATTGGCCGTTCTGGTATGGATAAGGTGAGGAACTGGAGAAAAACAAGACCCTGGGCTCCCGGAGCCTCTGGAGTTTTGGAGGAGCCCGGGAGAAGCAAAGCCTCGGTCGATGTGGTGGTAATATGTGGACTGTGGACTTGTGTGTGTGGTTGTCAAGAGCAGAAACCAAACAAGTCAAGGGGGCCGGGACAGACTCGGAGTGGCAGGGGAGACAGTGACAGGGAGAGCACCAATAAAGTGGTCACCAATGGGATACTGTCACCACGTCTTGGCCTCACTCACTCTCTGACGGGGTTCAAGCTGTGGCCGAGCTGCGAGGAGCTCTGAAAAGGTCTGAAAGCTGTCGACGGCGTTGGTGTACCAATAGCGGGTTATGACACCCAGATCGAAAGAAAAAGCGACAGCGGAAGCGCACGGCAGATCCTGCTAGATCCTGGCAAGCAAGTGGACAGGCCAAGCCCTGAGCTAGCCTAGCCGAATCTCCAAGAATGGGGCCAGTTTGGTGATGCTGAGGCCTGAGGGTGGATGACGGTGGACGCCGGCAACGGTGAATTGCTGAAATCGGCTGCCGATGGTGTCGAATGTGTGCCCCCCAAAAAAGGTCAAAAACCGACGGACTCGTCGTCGGTCGGCAGCGGTAGGTACGTACTGTAACTCGATTGGTGCATGTCTCCAGCGCTCCCCACTGGCCAGGCGATGATGGATTCCAGCAAAATCCCACTGCGTGCCGAGAGTGGATCGGCGTGACAAACCTTCGAATGAATCGAATTGTGATCGGGGTCGTTGATTTGTCCGTTTGTTGTTGGTTGGTGATGTTTTGAATTGGAGGTTTAGTCAGACGGACCCAGGTATCGCTGGGCTGAAGCCTAGTGCAGAGCTTGTTGAATAAAGTATGGTATGGTGAAGCTTGGATTTGCTTGGAAGCCCGAAGCGATGAGTCCGACAAACATGTGTGTGTGTGCCAGTCCTGGTGTTTTTTGTATGTTGGCTGCGAAATGGAAATGTCATAGTTGACATATATACGGGTCTAAGAAAACTGAGGAGCTAATCTCGTGGCGATGTCAGGCCGCTAATTGCGCCGCAGAACAACATTGCCGACCATTCCGACTTGGCTGTTAGGAGAACATTTGCCCAAAACATCGGTGACGACAGACAAGAAGCAGAAAGGCTTGGAAAAGATAAGATTGATATTGCAAGACACTCAACAAAAGAAAAGCTGGCCATCTGTTTCCCCGCAAACCAGCCAAGAGGCGCGTCAGACCTGTCGTGACAGTGTGCATCTTAGCCTGTCTTGGGACGTGGCCGCTGACTAGACCCTTCAAGCGACATGTTCCCCAAAGCAGTTCACACAAAGAAACCAACTGAAGAGTTGAAGACGCCAAAGTCCCCGGCAGTCCCATGCGGAGGGGAGTTTAATTGTCAAGGTCCGTGTAAGTTACACTTTACAGCCAATACAACGGTTACGTATTGTACACGTACATACCGCAATACGTAACACTGCAATGCGCAAACGCCAAGCATGAGTACGTCACCCGCCTAAGGCTGCAGCTGTGACCACTGTAACTGTATGTAACAGTGTCATGTGCCCATATGGTCCGTGCCCACCGCTGCGTCTCCCGCCTCCCGTTGCCTGTCCACTGCGCTTGCCAGGCTCCTGAGACGACCAACTACGGGGCTCAAATCACACTGGTGTCGCTGGCGACAACATGCGACTAGACCAACGACAACACGCTAGCCCAACCACATCTCCCCCATCGCGACCACATCAACGAACGCCCCTCTTTCGCATGATTAACGACGAATTTGAATAATTGAGAATCACGATACCCGCCGATAAACGAGCAACATCAAACGAACCCCGCGATACGGCCAGCCCGACGACAGCACATCACCTCCAATCCCGAAGCCCAACCTCCACATTCGATAGCGACACATACATACATTACTCCACTTAATTCAAGATGGCCAACATCCTCGACAGCGAAGCGGGCACGGAGCTCTTCAAGCACTATGAGACAGAATACCAGCTGGTCCAGGCCGATCTGGTCCAAAAGCTCGACCAGATCTCGGAGCTGACGGGCGAGCCCAGGAAAGCCGCCCTCAGCACGGCCGAGCGCGCCCTGGAGGAGGCCGGCGAGCTGCTGGACCAGATGAACATGGAGAAGCAGAACGTGCCGAGCTCGTCGCGGACCGCCATCAACAAACGACTGCGCGACTACCGGAGCGACGTGGACAAGTACCGCCGCAAGCTGCAGACGCTGGCCACGGACCGGAGCGCCCTGTTCGGCGGCAGATATACCGACAATCCCGGCTCGTCGGGTGGCGATAGGCATTTTGAGCAGAGGCAGCAGTTGCTATCAGGTGGGTGGATATATGCCCTCTTTTATGACGGACGGCCGCGCCTCTTCCTTGCCGGTGGAAAAGCAAAAGTGCTGACTGACCATTTTCCCAAAACGTAAAGGCACCGACCGGCTCGACCGGAGCACACAACGCCTCAAGGCCAGCCAGGCGCTAGCCGCCGAGACAGAGGCCATTGGCGCCGGTACTTTGGCTGACCTGCACCGCCAGCGTGAAGTTATTGAGCACACCACCACGATACTATACGAGAGTGAAGGCTATGTGGACCGAAGTGTCAAGACACTAAAGGGCATGGCACGCAGGTACCACCCTCCCCCTTTTGTCCCCGCATGCGAATCATTGATCATAAGTAATACTAACCACCTTGCTTCTTTACCAACCAGGATGG